TGGTTCAGAGTGAAATGCTGAATGCTTTAGTCTGTACTAACACTATACACTATGACACATAGATTTGTAACAATATGGATCCTACAGTGTTGAGAGTCCCCTGTACTCAGCCCCATTCTCTCTTCTTCTACACATTAACGTTCCTTTTATTCACGGCACATATTTTTGCTGTTGATTCTTATTCAGCTCAATTAACCATAAGAGCCTCCTCTCTTCCCCAAATCCCAGAGTGTATTTCCGCCATGAAATTACCTCCTAATGATACGCAGCCGCCGTAAACAATATGATTTGATAGTCATTTGCAAGAAGACACGGGAAAGACTGGGATTTAGCCGAGCCGAGTCTGCATCAGATTAAGAAAAGCTATTTCTCTGGTCATTTTGTGCAATAGAGAAGAAAATGTACTTGGCGAGCATTTTCTAAATCATTGAGAGACTTTATTACTTATTATAATGTCTTATAATGGTCATTGGCTTCTTACCTCACTGCAGGTCTTTAGGTTATTTCTGACTTTACGCTACAGACCTCCATCCATCCATTTCTTTCCGCTTCATCTGTTACCAGGTGGCGGGGGCAGCAGTCTAAGCAGAGATGCCCAGACTTCCCTCTCTGGGTCTTCCCCTGGTCTCGTGCCCAGAACATCTCCCAGAGAATAAGTGGGTAAGTAATCTTTATTTATATAGCACGTTTCACAGACCGGAGTCACAAATGTTGTATGTATCTCTCACTCTACACAGAGATGGGAGCGATGTCGCCTACAGGGGGCGCTGTCAGACATATTTTACATGTTTTTAGTGGTAGGGGAAACCGGAGCACCCAGAGGAAACCTATACAGACACGGGAAGAACACACAAACTCCACTCGGATATACCCCGTTCCGACGGGGATTGAAACCCTGGACCTTCTTGCTGACAACCTAGCGTGCTAACCAAGATGGCAAACGGATGCCAATGCAACCTCCACTGCTTCTCCTCTTGACACGGAGAAGCAACGGCTCTACTCTGAGCTCCTCCCGTGTGTTTGAGCCTCTCTATCTCTAAGGAGCAGCCATTCTGCAGATGAAGCTCATTTTGACTTAATACTGATTACCAGAGGGGAGGGAGGGAACATAGATCGACTTGTTAACTGAGAGCTCTGACTGCAGATGCTGCTCCCTCTGCACCACAACGGTCGGATACAGCGACTGCATCACTGCACTGATACGTGAAGATAAATTCTGAAAGTTCTTAAGATGTGCACATTTTTAACTCAGAAATACTGGAATTGTTATTGAATTATTCAGATTGTCAGTCACAAAAAGGTCTTTCGTTTTGAGGATGCTTTCTATGTATTATGTATTATTGTATTTCCATGTGTTGCTTTTAAAAGCTGTTTTGTAAAGCGCATTAGTTTCATTGGTTTGTGTGTTGATTTATTTTGCAGACAAAACCACAAAGGGCTTTAAAGCTGGGGTACCTCTACTTTCAAACTGCAACAGAATCTGTCCAACTATGTTGTGTCTCTCCTCTCAGTCGGTGCTATCGCTAGTTTTCACTTGCATGTATATATTTTAATATATTTGTTCAAATTAAGCCCATATCAGTAGTTTTCACTTGCATGTATTTATTTTGGCCTCAGTCCCACAGAGAGATAACCAACCGAGCTCAGGCAATCTGCTCTCAGCCCCAAGTCACGAATTGTTGGTTTTTTACCACTATGCAAAAGATAAAATGTTTTCTAATCTTGCAGACAGCATGTAGTGGTTGCAAATGAAGATCAAAAAGAAGCAAGTACTGGGGCAACAGTGGCTCAGTTGGTAAAGCATTGGCCTTTGAGACTGAAGGTTGTGGATTTAAGTCCTCTGTAAGACCTTCTCCCCCGACTCCCACTGATGTCTGCTGTTGCTGTCTCCTTGGGTAAGACACTTAACCCCAACTTGCCTCAAGGCTTTGTTGTCACGGACAGAGCAGGATCTTGTGGAATCACCCCCTGCACAAGGATCAGTGAGGGGCTGGAGGAGCAGGAGGAGGAGCAGTGAGGAGCAGAGGAGGATCAGTGAGGAGCTGGAGGAGCAGAGGAGGAGCAGTGAGGAGCAGAGGAGGATCAGTGAGGAGCTGGAGGAGCAGAGGAGGAGCAGTGAGGAGCAGGAGGAGCTGGAGGAGCAGTGAGGAGCAGAGGAGGAGCAGGAGGAGCAGTGAGGAGCAGAGGAGGAGCAGTGAGGAGCAGAGGAGGAGCAGGAGGAGCAGTGAGGAGCAGGAGGAGCAGTGAGGAGCAGGAGGAGCAGTGAGGAGCAGGAGGATTAGTGAGGAGCAGGAGGAGCAGTGAGGAGGATCAGTGAGGAGCAGTGAGGAGCAGTGAGGAGCAGGAGGATCAGTGAGGGGCTGATGCTCTGTGTACTGGGAGCAGCTCTGACTGCCACCCCCCGACCCAGATATTGATTGAGGGGAAGACGATGGATGAAGCAAGTATAACATCTCTAACTTTATCATAATAAAGAAGCAAGTAAAATGGTGTGTAGTCCAGTGCAGAAATATAAAAACAAAATAACGCAGCAGGAGGCTCTGGAACAAAGTGGTTGTACAGTAAAGTGAGCTCAAACAAAAAACATAAATAAAACTCAAAGAGAGAGAGACTTTTGTTTGTCGTTAATCCATACAACAAGTATAAATGTCTCCTCTTCAGTTCCTCGCCTCCTTCAGAGTCTCTCCATCTGTTGTGTCCTGGTTTTGGTTTTTTGCCAGAAGAACCGCGGCTTGGGATCCTGCCAATTTTAACTGCAGCCAAACACATGCACTATGTCTTCACACACACACACACACACACACACACACACACACACACACACACACACACACACACACACACACACACACACACACACACACACACACACACACACACACACACACACACACACACACACACTCACACACTCACACAGACACACAGACACACACACCACACACACCTGTTGCTACTGCTGCATGTCTTCAGAACATGTGAGATGTAGAACCCACAGTGTTCCATGACTTGTAGTTAAATGAAAACATTGGTCCTTGTTTGTAGTACTTTGTATTGTAATCCACAGATACTGGAGGTGAAGCAGAAACCAAGATGAAGAAATGATGGCCTCTGGAAGATGTCTCTGGAAAATAAATCATCCCAAAAATCATGAATTAAAACAAACCCCGTTCTATTGGGATTATGATGATGTTCAGCCATATGTTCATTGACTGTACTGTCCCGGTCAAATAAATAAAGAAATACGAATACACAGTAGTAGAGTAAAACAGCCTGAAGGCTGACGCTCTGAAGTAGAATGCCTTTACAAACATACACATGCACAAGATTCAATCATTTCACATACATCACATCAACATAAATGTAAATACATAAACATCATTCTCAGTCTTAAACAGGAGGCTCATAGTATGGGTTTACAAAATATTTACTCACTTAAAACCAGATCCCTCAGCCTGATTGCTCTCTGTAGCTTTAATATTTAACCTGTGGGTTTGTTTTCTCTCTAAAGACAATACACAACATGCGTTGTGTATTATCTGGACGGACTGAAAAGACCAAAGCTATGAGCGTTAGCTTAGCTTGGGACAAACTGAGTTCAACCACAGCGGATAACAAGGTTATAAACAAATGTCTGTATCAGATCTACTGTAACAGCCTCATGACTATAATTGATCAAAATATTTGTGTTCATAATTCGTAAAGAATAAAGAATAAAACAGTACTTATCAAAGACACATGTTACTGTGGCTGAAAGAGAGCAATGCAGAGACTTGTTGTTAACAGAGTGCGCACATGGAGCATGCTCGTGCATGTGCCTCGCACAAGTTTGAGTTGGCGTCAAACAGTGGAGAGGGCGGTTCCTTCCTTAAATTTGGGAGAATTCTTCTTCCTCTTCCTTGGAATGAGAAAATAAAGCAACAATTCTTGAAATAGTACTGAACGTCTTTGTCCCATCGGAGAATCTGGTTTTAACACAGAATATGTCAGATTAAGAAAAAAAAACACCTGATTTGATAAATATAATGTATGAGAATGTGTCAAACTTAAGCCTTTTATATGGCCTCCTGTGAGACAGTTTTAGGCACTTCCAGGATTTTACAGTAATCTACTGTTTTGATAAAGAAGTGTCTTCGCCTGCAAAGAAAGAGACAATCAAACACACGAGGACACATTATTACACACAACACACATTATTGGAATGTATTGATTGCAAACATGTATATAACAGAATAATTATTACCTCATATTTTGCAGTCATTTCTCAGTTTCCCCACAGAATATCCCCATTCGTCTCCCTATCTCCTCCCTCATCTGCCCCTGTCCCACCGACGCCTCCTCAGGACCCTCCTATCTGCCTCCATCTCCTCCACTCCTCCTCAGCGCTCAGACCTGGGCCCTGGTTTATCTTCCCTGACTTCTCCAACGTCAGGACGGGGGAGATAAAAACAACCTTGATATCCTCTCCGCTTTAAGCCTTTTGTGGTGTAGTGGACACATATCGACCAGAGAGACGCTCAGCTGTGGATTCATTTAGGTTGAAAGCAGCGAATGCACAAATGTTTAGCCATTACATGGAAAGAGGTTGTAAACTACTTGATGTAATTGGGGTCTATACGTCGACAGTGGACACTTAAGGTTAAGAAACGTTCCAAAAGTGTTTGCTTTGAGGCAAAAGAGACGTATCATGCGAAAGGTTTAGTGCGCAGAAAAGAAATGGGTGTCAATATGTCTCTATGTGTTTTTATCATTGCATTTCTTGTGTTTGAACTGTTGTGATTTAGAGTTATGAAAAAATGTATTGAATTGAAATTGAACTTAATGTTTTCCGTATGCTATTTTTATTGCACAAGAAACAAGCTCAGGTTACACTTAGGGTTTACGTCAAATGTTGGCAAACAAACTTACCTCTCCCTCCTCCGACCTCCACCCAAACCCCGTTCGTTTTTTAACACTGGCTTTTACCAAAATTGTTGCAATGCAGTTTGATGTAAAAGTGACTAAAAGTGAGTTACAATAAAAAAGATAGATTTGGAACGCTGTGGTACGCTGTGGAACTCTGTGGAACGCTGTGGAACGCTGTGGAACGCTGTGAAACGCTGTGGAACTCTGTGGAACGCTGTGGAACGCTGTGGAACTCTGTGGAACGCTGTGGAACTCTGTGGAACGCTGTGGAACTCTGTGGAACGCTGTGGAACTCTGTGGAACGCTGTGGAACTCTGTTGAACGATGTGGAACGCTGTGGAACACTGTGGAACGCCGTGGAACTCTGTGGAACGCTGTGGAACGCTGTGGAACTCTGTGGAACGCTGTGGAACTCTGTGGAACGCTGTGGAACGCTGTGGAACTCTGTGGAACGCTGTGGAACGCTGTGGAACTCTGTGGAACGCTGTGGAACTCTGTGGAACAATGTGGAACGCTGTGGAACTCTGTGGAACGCTGTGGAACTCTGTGGAACGCTGTGGAACTCTGTGGAACAATGTGGAACGCTGTGGAACTCTGTGGAACGCTGTGGAACTCTGTGGAACGCTGTGGAACTCTGTGGAACGATGTGGAACGCTGTGGAACGCTGTGGAACGATGTGGAACGCGGTGGAACGCTCTACCCCCCCACATCAAAACAGCTCCCTCATTGGGCCGTTTTAAGTCTCGTCTTAAGATATATTTTTACTCTGTGGCTTTTATCTCCGCGTGAGTTGTGTGGTCCTCTTTTTATTTGTTTTGTTTTGTTTTTAGTTCTATTTTTAAATCAGATAACTACAAAAAATTGTATCACACTTTTTATTGTTAACTGGTATTTTATTGTTTTTGTTACATTTGTATTGTTTTTACTTTTTGATTAATGTTTGACTTCTATTTTTTTTTAAATGAGGCTGGCAAACTTGCGAATTTAAATATACAGCACTTTGGAAACTTTCAGTTCCATGCTTCTTGTTTTGTTTTATTTAACAGTGATGCAGTTCCAAGCTTCAAGTAGAGCTTGTGACTCAAAAATCAATCCATGAAACCATGAAAGGGTTGAACCAGAGTATTTTTACAACATTATGAAGGCTCTACCAGAAAATTTTAAAGTGAGTGTAAAAATCTGACAATATCAACTCCACAGCAGAGAAACACACTCTGTTTTTGTCTTTGTTTAATTCTCTAATCTGTTCTTGGTGAATGGTCATATTTATGGCGTCCTCTGAGACGAATTATTGTAGCGTTATTGTATTTTGCGCTGTCCATGGTGCTGAAATTGAGATCACTCTTTATTTGAGCTGATAGCTCCCTCTAGTGGACAAAGAAATGAGGTGCAAGTCTCTTCTCAATGGAGAACAGGCTTGACTAACATTTTTTCACAACAAAAATGTATGAGAAATTTAGCGAGAACTGAACACGTTATCACATACAATGATAGAGTGCAGAAAAACACAGAATACAGGGGAGGGCAAGAAGAAACATACATTATACACTTAAAACACAGTTTGCATTCTACATGAGATATTTTAAAAGTAATTTATCTATTAACATTCATAGACAGTGGACTCTGCTCCTTATGGACCAAGGGCTCTATGTGTGGAACTGTCCGTGGTGATGAAAGTGTGAAGAAGCATTTTCTGAGCTGATCTGAGCTGTTCCGTCTACTGGACAAAGGAGTGAGGTGCAAGTCTCTTCTCACCATAGAATAGGCATTAGTTAGTAATGCATTCATTTGTAATGCCTAATGATCTTTTCAGAGAAGAATAGGCATTACACACTACAAAATATTGAAGGACATCAACAATAAATGAGAAAATCTTCAGCGGAGAGTTCTACAACTGGGAACTATTGTAGCAAAAAGACTCATTCTCACAGAATGGAAAAGTCCAGGAGCACCATCCTTCAGAAACTGGCTGAATGAGCTGGGTAAAATCATTCACATGGAAAAACACAGGTTTAAGTCTACAGGGAACGTGCACAAATGGGAGCTCTGCTGGAATCCACTCTTGAGTTCCATAAAGTCATAGGATGGTCCTTTTGGACAATACATTCTGAGTGAGACCCTCCTGGGAGCTGAAAGTAGATTTGGAACTTGAAAACTGTAATTGTAATGTACAAGTTGGTATAATGGCTCATGTTGATGTGGGAACAGACACATAAGCACACATCTCCAGGGCACTCCCGTCCATGTGTGTGTGTGTGTGTGGGTGTGTATGAGAGGGTGTAAGTTTGCCTGCCAGCATACCTTATAGGAGACGTGTTAGGTATTGTGTGCTAAACATGTTTAAAGATTTTTGTTTTATTTTTATTTTATTGTGTATTTCATTTGTATATTTATAAATATAAATTAATTAAAAATATATATATATTACACTTTCCATTGATTTGAATGTAATTTCAAAACGTTCTACCGGTCATTATTTCTTGATAACTGACCTCTCAAAACAATAATGGCCGCTGCACTTTCGCAACGCACTCTCTGCTTGTAATTCAGATGTGTAGATTACTCCGCAAGTAGTCCGGCCACTTCGTCGCTACTACTGTCGCTATCGGAGCTAGCTACGCTCATTAAACGCAAATACCAATCACTCAACACATTTAAATGTTAATCGGAGAATACATTATACATATACATTTTTAATACATCATTGACTGCTGTCATTGTGTCCTTGGGCAAGACACTTAACCCCACTTTGCCCAAAGCCCCCACTGAAAGATCTCAGCTCCTGTGGACTCACCACCTGCAGGAGGATCAGTGAGGGGCTGGTGCTCTGTGTACTGGGTGCAGCTCTGACTGCCACCCCCCCGACCCAGAAATGGATTAAGGGGAAGAAAATGGATGGATGGATGGATGGATTCTTAATACACATGCACAGAGGTTTTCAGAATGATCTGTTTATGTTTTCATGACAAAAGTGCTGTTTAAATGCGAAAAAAAGCAATCGCGACAAACAGACATATAGGACACTTTAGCAGAAGATCAAATTATGGATTTAGGTTGACTTTATGTATGGGTCACTCACCACTGATTCAGAATTCTTTGTTCCGTTTTCATGCAGTTCGAGAGAGTTCTAGTTGGGAAGTTGCTAGCCTAACTGTTACTCGCATAGCCACAGGAAAACCTTTGGGAATTATTTTATTTTCTGTCATTATATAATCTTTTCGGCATTCATAAAAGTGGACTGAAGTTAATTTTGTGTGATCTGTTGGTACAAAGCTGTGTAATGAGCGGAATAATATATAGTAGGCAGGTCATTATCGGAAATATACCGACAGGGCGAAGCGGACCCCGACACGCAGCTTACAGCTATAGCTACTATGCATTATCCCTTACATATATGTGTGTGTTATGTACTGTACATATGTATGTATGATTATTGTCTTATATTGTTTAATGCTTTGCTTCCTGTCCTGTTCTCCCTTTGATTGTCACAACAGATGTTATCTTGGATGCTTTTACAACGTTGCTGATTCGCCAACACAGATCAGAGAATCAACCCGTTCAAACAAAGGAAATGCAATTACTGCTGTTACTGTTACTGCTGCTGTTACTGCTGCTGTTTCTGCTGCTGTTACTACTGCTGCTACTGCTGCTGTTACTACTGCTGCTGCTGCTGTTTCTGCTGCTGTTACTGCTGTTACTGCTGCTACTGCTGCTGCTGGGACTGCTGCTCCTGCTGCTTCTATTACTGCTGCTACTGTTACTGCTGCTACTGTTACTGTTGCTGCTACTAGTGCTGCTGTATAATGTGCTTCTGTATCATCATACATCTGTATATTTACCAGACCTCTCTATTGTATGAAAAGTGCTTTAAAATATGTCTTGGCCAATTATATCATTTCACATCTTTAATATCAACTACATCATAATTTGATATAAATTGCATTTTTACTGAAAAATCACTGTGCCACAGTTCTTTACATGTGAATCCAAAAATATATTTTGCTCTATTCCCTAATTCTAACCCTACATTACTGTAAACGTAAAATAACAACAACTCTTTACTGTAATCATTTAAATTCCAACTGATTGAACTTTAAATGAATGTGGAACATCTGTAGCCATGGATACGACTTCTCAACAGCTAGACCTGTGAGCTGTGGTCTGAGTAAGGGACAGGGTTAGAGAGTCAGAGGGGTAGGATTAGAGTTAGGGGCAGGGTTAGAGGTAGGGTTAGAGAGTTAGGATTCAGACAGTGGTTCCTTCTTACATAAATATCAAAACATGGAGTTATCAGCAGCACAGCTTTACGAAGCTGTTGTTTCCAAAATCAAAAACCAGTACCGTCTCCCAGCGAGACATCTGCAGTCCATCAAAGCCAAGGTTGAAGAGATAGCCAAAGATACAACTCATTTCTCGTCTTTAGAAGTGGAGTGCCTCATTCGCCAGTTCTACATTCTGCTCGGACAACAACCACCGAAGACCAAAGCGATTCAAGGCATGGACAAGCAGCAGTTCTTTGTGGTTTTGAAGATTCTCTTTGGAGTGGACTCCAAGCACATGATCGACTACATTTTCTCCACGCTCGACCTCAACAGAGACGGATACATCGGCGATAACGAGTGGGTGCAGACCTTGGGCGTCTTCCTACGTGGGAACTTGGAAGAGAAAATCAAGTACACTTTCGATGTGTACGATTTGAACGGCGATAAGTCAATTTCGAAAGAGGAAATGCTTTACATGATGAAAGGAGGAAACACGGCCAAATCCAAATACGATTGGGAGATGGAAGACCTCTTGGACATCACCTTCAAAGCCGTAGACCGCGATCACGACGGCTTTCTGTGCTATCCAGACTTTCAACAATCCGTTATAATAAATGACATGTACTTGCAAGCTTTCGGAAAGTGCATGCCGGATGAGTTTGATGTAGTAGCTTTTGAACATCACCTGCAGGAGCTTAAAGTGGTGGTGAAAGCCAGAGGGAAGGGAGAGTACAATATTCCCAGGAAGGGCTGCCTGCTGAACTGCACCACTCACCTGCAATTGACGACAACCTTTGAGAAACTCTCTGGGTTTTTGCCTTGTGCAATGCTGCAATGGTCCCACACTGCTCCACCAACTATCCAACCACAAACATTAAACGGTGAACGAGTGAAGAGGTTGTTTGGACCTGGATTTAGCACGTCTAAATGTTAACAGGCCTGAACTAAGCCACCAACCAGACCACCAGCCGGCTCGACACAATAAATTAATTAGCATCAAAATTATTGTGTCAACTTGTATGTCAAAATGTCTTAACGCTAGAGTTCCACACCACAAAAATATATAATGAATGTGACCTGTTCTCAAGTTTTCACATAATTTATGTGGATCCCTGTCGCATATTTTGGTCAGATTTTTTAGACACAAAAGTGAAAGTGTCTTTTTGAAAACATAATTTGATTTGTTGGCAGAAGTCCCCTCCCACAATTTTCATTACATTTTCAACAAACTCCACTGTATTTCCTCTATTGTACTGTATTTCCTCTATTGTACTGTATGTACTGTATATTATGGTAATTTGGTAGTAGTCGGCTCCTGTGGTTAATGTGCTGATGGTTGAAGTTTTGTGCAGATTCCTCATAAAACATGGCCATTTCCTCCTTCCTCCCAAAGAGACTGATGTTCTCTTTCTATTGATTTTTGAAATACCTGACTTTGCGGCAATGGTTCAGATTGGTTGCAGAATTGCAAATTTGCAATTGTAACTTGGACCGTGTGCACCAAGATTTGTGTGTGTAACCCCTGTTAATTGGGTCAGTACAATCATCACAATTTTTTTGAAAAGTTATACCATTCCTCACCAGCAGAGGGCACTTGACGCCAGACGAAATATATTTTGAAGCCACGTGAGTCACAGCAGACTTGGAAAGAAACGTGGCAGGTAACTCACACGAGGTCTTGGTTGCAAATTTAAGAATTGTATAAAGGGTGGACACTTTATTTTCTTTTTACACACGAATACTATTTTTTGTATTTTATTTTTACTCCAATTGTATTAAACAAATACATTATTTTTTTTGGGAAGAACTCTAGGTTGTTTGTGCTCACTATTCTCCTTATCGAATCTAGATCCGTTTAACAGTTGTGCATATTACAATTGGTATAAACTAAAGTACTACATGTGGGTTTAATTTGACAATTTAACTCTTACAGAACAATCTGTAAATAAGCACGTAAGGAGAGAGGAACAAAAAAATGCTACGCACTGTGAGTGGTGGGGTGACAGTGTCTCGGTTGAGTATTGGCCTTGAAGGCTGTGGGTTCAAACCCACCAAAAGACCTACTTCACACTTCCCACTGATGTCTGCTGTCGCTGTGTCCTTGGGCAAGACACTTAACCCAACTTTGCCTAAAGCCCCCGCTGAAGGATCAATCCTCCTGTGGACTCACCACCTGCACGAGAATCAGTGAGGGGCTGGTGCACTGGGTGCAGCTCTGAATTAACCCCCCAACCCAGAAATGGATTAAGGGGAAGAAAATGGATGGATGCTACGCACGGGCTCTGGTTTATGCACAAATCTTTTGACACAGTTCTGAGTCAGTACGCCCTCATTCATGAAACTTGCACAGAAAAGGGTGTATATATTGGGTGTAAAAATCCAACGCAGGATTTAAAATCCGTCCTGAGACGAGCGTAATCACCTGCGGCTGTTGTTCAATCTGAAGAGACCAAAGACACAATTAGTACATTAAAATGATTTATTTATTTGGTGCATTGACCCCGGCAGTGACACTTGAGATCGATTGCCGCTGTAGATTATCTCAGATCCCCCGGGGTCAAGCACTGGTGGTGGCTAGAATATGGTGTGAATGGGGCGTAGGCGGAGCCAGGGCAGGAGCCAGAGCAGGAGCCTAGAGTGGGAGCCAGAGGAGGTGCTGGGGAGGTGGTGGGTGTTTAGAGCTTTCAGGAAGCGCTGTTTGTCAGGAAGTGGCTGCCTTTTAAACTGGCAGGAGGCTGGCCGGGCTGAAGCTCGGGGCTGGCAGTGCTGTGAGATTGGCAGGCTACAGAGGGGGAATTTGCGCTCGGTCTTTCAGTCTGAACATTTGCTTCAGCTTCAAATAAATGCTACGCTAAAAATAAACGTATTTATGAAAGTCACGCCTATGCAGCAACGGCCTGTTCCACGCCCAGTATTTACGACATCTGGCATTTATCAACTTCCAGGTGGATAAATGCAAAAAAGTTTCATAAATGAGGGCCAGTGTCTCTGGAGATTCGCAAGTGTAATGTGGCTGTGCTACCACTATACCAGTAGATGATGCCGTTGTAGCCGATTACTACTGTAAGCATGTGCTGGAGTGCGCATGCGCAAAGAGCTGTGGAAAAACCTGAAATGTTTAAAAAACTGGCCGGGAGAGTAACGGTCGTGTTGGGCTGTTCATGAATAAACGGAGTCTGGTTATTTTATTCTCCAAAGATACTTCTGCCTCTGCTTCCTACCTAGCTTGCCCGTTACATTGGTGGCAGCGGTGTTGGCTGGACGTTCCTTCGGAATACTCGGGAATTGCAGTTGGCGTTATTTGGTGAACTATGTTTGGAAATTTTCATGGATCTGACGCCGGTATGGCTGAAGATGAATGCAAGTACGTACCTCCGTGGACCCAGGGGGTGTGCAATATCAGAGTGGACCTGCCTGCAGCGTTTTGTGGAGATGGACGTAAACTTTTCGCTACCTGGATAAAGCAGTTCGAAGCGGCGGTCCGCGCTCAGACCCGGGGTGATGGGAGAAGCTATGCCGCGTCCTTAACCGCTCTGCTGCCCACCCGGCTGGATGGTGCGGCGTTTCTGTTGTGGGACAGCCTGCCCTCGTCTGTGCAGTGTGATTTTTAGCGGGTGAGAGGCCGTCCTCAGTGAGGATTAAAGGGGCTGGTAAGGCTCTCCGTATTTTGTGGCACGAGTTTCCTCGCATGACCATGATTGACGGAATTGTGCACAGGGTTGTTGCCCTGTGTGATGTGGAACAGACATGGCAGGTTGTCGTACCATCGGTTCTGGTGCCGGAGGTCCTGCGTCTTCTTCATGGGGGGCCCTTGACTGGCCATTTGGCTGTGGAGCGGACCATGGCCCGTGCACGCGGGGTGTGCTTTTGGCCTTGTATGTATCGTGACATACGCACTTGGTGTGAGCAGTGTTATGCCTGTCAGAGGCGCAAGGCGCCTGTGCCTCACCATCGTGCTCCGATGCGGACGACGTTGGCACAGCGCCCGTTTCAGCGGGTTGCGGCAGACATATTGGAGTTGCCGGTCACGTCGAGAGGAAACCGCTATGTTCTGGTGGTGGAAGACTATTTCACCAAGTTCGTTAACATGTATGCTATTGCGGACCAGAGGGCTACTACCGTGGCAGAGTGTCTCTTTAACAATTTCATCTTGGAGCATGGTGTTATGGAGACCCTTTATACTGACATGGGGCGACAGTTTGAGTCAGACGTGGTTAGGCAGTTGTGTACATTGTTGGGTGTTAAAAAGACACATACCACGCCTTATAATCCTAAATCTGATGGCATGGTAGAGAGACTAAACAGAACGCTCATTGATCAGCTGGCCAAAATGCTACTTGCTTGTGAGGGTGAATGGGACTCATTCTTATCTCAGGTTGCGTTTGCATACAATACTAGCGTTCATTCCAGTACAGGATTTACGCCCTATTTTCTTACTCATGGTAGGGAGGCTCGTGTTCCTGTGGATGTGTTTTTGGTTCCTATTATGCAGACTGGTCAGAGATATGACTCTATTGATGATTTTGTTTTTTCCCTTCGTAGACGTTTGGATGCTGCTTTTTGCCAGAGTCGCGATAACAGTGTGACTGCGAGTGACAAACAGAGGACCTTTTATGACACCAGAGAGAGACACAGGCCTTACGAAATTGGGGATTTAGTGTGGCTTCATGACCCAACTGAGAGCCGCCGTAAATTGGCCCCACACTGGAAGGGGCCTTACATTATTGAGCGGAGACAGGACCGTGACGACGTGGTTGGGGTTACATATGTGATTGGAAGTCCATTTGGGGAAGAAGCCCCCAAACAGACAATTCACTATGATCGACTACGTCCCTATTGTTTGCCGAGTCCTGTTCCTTTGGCTGGCCCACCGAGAAGTGCCGCTCTAAGTACACAGGGCCCTGTGACCTACGATGCACTCTCCTCACACGGTGAGCCTTCTGTGTCCACCCCTTCGCCAGTGAGGGAACAGGTGGACGGTGAATTTGTACCGGATGCGGCCCCTATTGGTCGTCAGGTGCAGGTGTCGCGTTCTGGACGACACAGTAAGGCTCCTGGACGTTATGCTGACTATGTTATGGGTTAAGGTTCTGATGTTGTGTAACAGGTTATGTATGTTATGCTTGTTACTGTTTTTTTGTTTTTTTTCCCCTCTTCTTATGTTATTGTATTGAAATGGGGACATTTCATGTGTAAGGGGGGGATATTGTAAGCGTGTGCTGGAGTGCGCATGCGCAAAGAGCTGTGGAAAAACCTGAAATGTTTAAAAAACTGGCCGGGAGAGTAACGGTCGTGTTGGGCTGTTCATGAATAAACGGAGTCTGGTTATTTTATTCTCCAAAGATACTTCTGCCTCTGCTTCCTACCTAGCTTGCTCGTTACACTACTTTATTACAGTCTTTGATAACTACACGCAAGCAAACCAACACTCGTTGGCTGCACATAATGGAAAATCACAAAAGCAGCGAGATTGCGTTTTCCTTAGCTTGGCCTTAGCCATCCGTTCACTACGGTCAATTATAATTTTCCTGCATATATCGTCTGAGTCTAGTCCACTAGTCCAAGTGTCTTACATCGGCTGAGTCCCAACTGATCAAACAGCGAGTACAGGAGGCGGGTGTTGTAGGTAGATGTGGGTGACTTCAAGCGTTTGCGTCGAATTAGCTGCTTGTGGTTTGGCAATGGCGAAGAATGCGATAGTAAAGTAAGCCGTTCTGGTTCTATTGAGAAAATGAAGCCGCAGCAAGCGGAATGTTTAGTAAATGTAATTGATGGGAGAAACTGTGGCGCTACTTCTTACGAGCTCCGTTCGTGGCAAAGGAGATGGCTAAAGCTAGGCTGAATGCTAAATTCTTGCGACTCACTCGGGCGCATTACATACATCACGATAAACTCAGATCTAATTGTTTCAATCTGCAAAAGGAGTTAACCCCTCCCACCTGTTAACGGAGCTCAATGGGCTCAATGGAGCAAAGTTTACGCAAAATGTCACTGTCAATATGTGCATCAATGAATGCAATGTTTTATTGTAATGTTAATACATGTCAACTCTTTATATTGAATCCCTTGATTTCATTTTACACTATGCCATTTTCACCAACAGCATTGGTGTTAGCTAACTAAGCTACTAGCTATAACAGTGGAATATGATTACTGTTAATCACCCGCTTTATATAGCATGTAGCATGTACTTCAAGGAGACATTTGACATTACGGAGGAAATCATGGCTCTCTGCCATAGGAACGCAATGGACTTTGAGGGGTCATCATTTGGTTTGAGAGGGTTAGCAGATAATACATCTATTGCATTTGCATTATATGTATTGATTCATTTTTATTTTGATGATTTCATTAGGGTGTACGAGTCAAGGGTTAGTGTAAAAAGTTACTGTCCCCTGAGGGAGACAGAAATGCACAGGCCGTTTCCCCTACTCTGGACCAAGTCGAGGTCCCCAGGCACTGGCAATGAGATTCACAAGGAATCTCATTCAACCTAGAATGGGCTGAAGACAACTTACATGTCTACAATAATATTGAAAAGAAAAGGTTTAGGGTTAAGTTTAGTGTTATAGGTACATCCTTTGTACCTGAGGTCCATTATTTTGATAATTACTTTGTTTCCTGAAAATCATAATAAGTGGTCATTTGAAATAGAGAGAGGACGGATAAAGACAAAGACATCCTTGATTTCCAAGCGCAAATTCGGCTCACCTCCCTGAAGTTGGCCCCCCATCATGTTCAGTCTTTTAATTAAAAATATGTCAATCGTTTGTGCTGGTTTTGTGTTGTAAAATACGTTGTTTGTGCTGTTATCGTTTTTGAGACATAAAGGATTCTTTTATAGGTAAATCTGAGGTCATTCAGCCCCTCATTTTGCAAAAAAAAAAAAAAAAGCTCCAAAAAGCTGGTTTGTGTTGTCAAAATGTTTTAAGTGATGTTATCGTATTTAAGATATTGATAATTTAATTGTTTGAAGCTGACCCCATACATACACCTTCCAAAACCTACCATTTTTGCTTCTACTGTGTGGTTGTTTACGTTGAAACCAAGTTGAAACCTACATAAATTGCATGTTTCTCTATGGTTTCTTCCCTGGTCCAAAAAGGAAAACTGGAAGCTGTACTTCGTATCACTCTTGGGTTATACTGACTAAAACGAAATGTGAACGTAAGCTTTGTTAATAAACAACTGATATAGTCAGAACATGTCATGTGATAATTTAATTCCCAACACTCTTCTTCTTTTAAAGTTCATCGGGGGATACTCTATAGATCCATGGGGATACTCTATGCAGCAACAAAGAATGCCACTGGGAGGCGCTAACATGGATCTATTATATTAACCATGAGGTTTACCTGCTAACATTTCAAACTTTCAGAGCTTTTTAGCAGATGGATTTTAATCCAAATATACTTCTTTTTGTATAGGATTTTTTCACTCATGGAGTGCATCTTTGCATAACTTTTTCTTTGCTCGGTATTCAATGTAAAATACTGTACATAATTGTTTAAAATCAAAGTTCATTTAATATACGATTCACCATTATACATTGCTTCAATTATATTGATGACAAAATTAACACACGTAAACTGACAAAGTAAACAAGAATGATGTGAAGTGTCCGGATATGATGTCACTGTCAGGTGTGTGAAAATCAAAATTATTAACATATCTGTATAAAACAAATAGGCTACAGCGTAAATGAAGGGTGGAGTCCATGGGCTATGCACTTTCGAAGCTGTATGACGTAGTCGTCAAACAATTAAATTATTACGAAACGTTAAAACGATAACAACACAAACGAAACATGTTTTACACATAGACTGTATATATTTTACAACACAAATCAGCACAAACTGTTAACATAGTTGTTATTTAAAACTGATATGGGGGCCAACTTCACGGAGGTGCATAATCCAGACAGTACAAACCATTCCAAACACAGCACAAACGATTGACATGTTTTTTTTAATTAATAACTGAATACGATGGAGGGGGGGGGGGGACTTGACGGAGGTACTAGAGACGAGTCTCGTGACATTTTTGCGCGTCCACGAGATCGTGTGCGCGACTGAAGAACGTCAACCATTCAGAATGACGTACTCCAAAGGAAGCCAATCACAGACCAGAGTGAAGGTGCAGTGGCCAATAAGGATGGGAGATTTGAGTAGAAGCACGTCTTGTGGGCGGGACGTAGCTGCTTTGGCTTGTCACCAGAGCCACGGAAGAAAATTTTGATGTTCAGAAGTAAAAATGGCCAGAGGTGGACGTAGTCTTCGCAAAGTTGCCGAGTGCATAAAACAGATATCAGCCAGCCGAGAATTAACGTCGAGAAACAATTTAAGGTAGGACTTGTACTCATTTGGCCTGAATACACCGAGATTCGGACTCTCACCAAAACCAGCGTTTAAGCAAAATATACGGATTTATGTTTCCTGTCTGAGTTATTCATTACTTTTCCTTAACATTAGGCCTAAATACCCCCTAAAAGGCCTTATTCAAGAGAATGTACTGAACATATTTTAAGGGTCTAAAACGAGAGTGTTCCAGGGGAGGTGATCAGTTGTCTTGAAATTTGCATTGACTTTCAGTCAATGCAAATTTCTTTACGGTTGTTCTCGGTCTTATAACACAACAATAGTCCTTGTGACTGGTTTCGGTTTAAAGACAGCAAGATCCTCCCTAACAAAGCTGATGGCGGAAATGGCTTTAGCAAAGTAACTACCTCGTAATTGCACGCATAGATACGTAATAGAGCGTTCCAAAATTAGCAGCTCTATCTATCTATCTCCACACACACATACACAGACACCTACACACACACACACACACACACACACTGTCTAATGCTGCTTACACAGTTATTACAACAGAAGGAATGGATCTATTGTGTCTTCTTGAAGCGAGCTAGCTCTAGCAGATGTAAACATATGTTTTAATTCTTCTGTATTTTATCATTAATGTTAGATATCACTATCACGTCCCGCTAAAACATCTGAATGTACTCACACGCTATGTTACATTATATTGATCAGATGTTTCTGAGAACATAATGTGTTTGTTTAAACTTAATCAACCTGTGGAGCTACATGTTGAAATGTAGTGTTTGAGGTCATAATAGTGTTCATCCCCTGAATTTATTGCACGGGGCTATTTGCCAACACTCTCATGTGTCTCGTTTGAGGTCATGGTCATGCTTCACTGTCACACTTTAGGTCCTCTGGAGAGATGAAAAATAGAAGGGCACAAGTGGCATTTGCAAAAGAGCCAAACCAATCAATGCAAGGAATATTTCTTCTGAATTGGTCACATATAATCATGATTCATGACATTGCACTCCAGTGTATTAAAGTATAGTTTCTCTCTGTTTGTGGAGCTGCAGGGTACAACAGCCTTTCAAGGAATATTAATTTGGGATGAATGCACAGTTTGTTGGTCCTAGTGGCTACATTATTCAAGAATTCTGTATTTAAACAATTTAATTTGAGGAGACTTTAGTTAAAATCTACTTCCATCTGGTCATTTGACCCCATTATTTGACAATGTGCTTTACCTTTTGTCTTTGTTTCTTGTTTCTGGTTCAGATATCTATCATCATGCGGGATCCTTATGACGCGTGTCCCTCCTCTGATAAGTGCAGCCACAAACCATCCCACTGTGGCGCCTGCACGCAGCTTCTTCAACCTGGCAGACTCCTTTTCTAAGAGAAAGGAGTACTCAGAAAGACGTATCATTGGGTTGGTCGCTTTCATGTTCCCAATTTTAACTTTCATATGCTTTTTATAATCTATTCATTAATAACGATAAAGTTGTTGGGCGGAAGAATGTGAAAGTATGGAACTGTGATTCTTTTAAGTGTGAATCTTAACATAAAGGATGTCCCTGACAGTTCAATATCCTTGTGCAATCTGCGGTGAGATCATAATCTCTATATCTTTATGCATAGCTGTAAGTCCCAGTGCGACCAGTGAGAGATGTTTAGTTGACACTAGATACTTCACTTTCTACCCTGATACTTCTCTATCTTCTCCCTGACCTACTTCATGGTTAGTGGGTCATGAAGCATTTACCCAACGCCCTTTGTAGAATATTACATCATATGCACGACTTGGCCAGTTGCCAGTGTCTGGCTCATAACTTACAGATGCCTGTCCTCGCAGATATTCTATGCAGGAGATGTATGACGTTGTGGCAGGAGTGGAAAACTATCGTCTCTTTGTGCCCTGGTGTAAAAAGTCAGAGGTGGTGTTTAGGAGAGCAGGTTTCTGCAAGGCCAAGCTCTCTGTGGGCTTCCCTCCAGTGGTGGAGAATTACACCTCTTTGGTCACATCAGTGCGCCCCCACTTGGTCAAGGTATGTAATCAACTAAAACTACAATATATAATTCTTCTTAAAGCAAGTTAAAATGTGTTTGTCTTTGTATTTTCAATAGGCTGCGTGCTCAGAGGGTAAACTGTTCAATCATTTGGAGACAGAGTGGCGTTTTAGTCCTGGGCTTCCTGGTTATCCTCGGACGTGTACTGTAGATTTTTCTGTAAGTAGCATCATTTCTAGTGCAACTGGTGCAATAATTCTTCATCATTGTTTTATCATGACGGGGTTTTCACTCAAGGCTTCCTGTTGAGAGGTACATTGAACAATAGCAATGCTCGATAATACATTAACACATTCTAGTTACTCCATGGATGAGTGATTCCACAGTATGTTTAGGGCAAAGCACAGAGCTGTGCTGCAGAACAAAGATACCACAACAAGGATTTGACTCACAAAAAGGTTGCGTGTGAGCACTAAAACAACTCAAATGAATCCAATGACTATATTATGAAAGAAATCGTGTATGTGATCATAAGAGCAGGTTACACATGAACCTTAGCTGACAGACTCCTGTGCATGATGCTACATATTTATTGAGCTTTGTAAAATAGATTAAGAATTATTGATCCTGTGGTCACATTTCATGTTATGTTCAACGACTGTCTTCTGGGGGAGATGTGTTTTTGTTCATCTCAAACCACTTGTGTTTTCCCCAGATTTCTTTTGAGTTCCGCTCCTTGCTCCACTCACAGTTGGCCCACATGTTTTTCGATGAAGTGGTGAAGCAGATGGTGTCGGCGTTTGAGCGACGTGCGTCTCAAGTGTTTGGCGCAGAGACGGCCATCCCTCGTGAGCTGATGTTCCATGAGGTGCACCACACGTAGCATCGTTCCTGCTGCGCGCCCAAAGATGACATACCCAGATGTTTAAAAGGAACATTTGAGAGATTATTATATCCGTAGTGCCTTTCTCACAACAAAGCCATTACAGAAGAGTTACTACTGCCATTATTTTGCTGTCACATGCCAGCTATTTATTTTGGACCAGGTATTCAGTATTCAAAATAGAATGTGGAATATATTTATATTTATCCTGATAATGCCTTACTATAATTCACTGCTGCTCTAAACCCAAGCTAATTCCACTGCATTTGGCACACATTCCAGTAAAGCTGTAAAAAAAAAAAAATCTTTAAATTATGTTTAGTACACTAAAGACTTCCGAAGTTGCCGGTACATAGTTTGTTCATAACTTAGCATTTTGTTTGTTTTGTCTATGAAAAGAAAAACATATTTAATTCACAGCTCACAAGATATTTATATTTTATTATTTTATATCCAGCCTTTACTGATCAATACTTAGAAACTTAAAAATCAGCAGATGCTAATATAAACCAATACCGGTGAAGGGACTGATGGTAGCAATTTTCCTCCTCAAATAACAGCTTATTCTTGACAAAAAGGCAATTATGTTTTTTATTGAACCTTAGTAAAGTAAAAGGTACATATCTAAAGGAGGTCAGTAAAGAGCTCACTCAGCTCAAGGAAACGTTGGATGTAATATCTATAATAGTTTTGTTCAAAACACGTGGTTATAGCAGATGATCACCATGGTTACAGATCGGACTAGCATTATAAGCTATGATTACACAAGTCGCTCCACAGTACATAATTCTAATAGAACTTAAGTCAAACTTTTGTGGTCCCAAAAAAATTGTGTGACTAACCCAAGACTCAAGACTATAAAACAAGGACACTGGTGTATGGTCATGACCTCTAACTACTCTATATTACTTTACTAGTATATAACAATTAACAGTTGGCAATCATTTAAATGTTTTTTTTTGAAGAATTAGAATGTATTTCAATATTAAAGGATGGTATAAGAGAAAGCAACATAAAAGGTGACTGATGGTTTTGCTGCTGATCAAGTTTACATTTCACAAACTTGAAATAGGTCTTTTCCTTTTGTCTCTACAGACTTATAAAGCAATCTAGTCCTTCAAATTGTAATTCTAGTGAACAAACAAGCTGGATTCATATTTTTAAATTCAGTGATGTGTATATACAGTACAGACTAGGGATGTAAATCGGTGACCGTTTAACCGGTGGTTGACCGTCACAGCGTTAACCGGTCAAAGCTGTCGGTTAAAAAAGAGAAAAGGGGGAGAGGGGAGGTCTCTTCATAACGCTATTTTAAGCCCTATTTGCACGATGTGACGAGCGGGTCCCTATCTAGCTGTGTGCGCCAATGTAACAGTAAACTCTGGGCCGACTCTCACGCCGTACGCGCCACATATGCACGCACACATGTACACGCACACACACACACATCCCCCCCTCCATTGACACGTAACATCCACACGCATCATCTCTCCCCTGTGTTACCGTCTGCTAGTTGCACACTGGTGCGGGTCAGAACTACATTGGAGCTTATATTTACACACACATACATACATGTATTGCACACACACACATAGCTTACATATACACACACACAGACATATACACACATACATACATGTATTGTACACACACACATACCGGTCTGTCGCGCTCCTCTGTGTCACGGAGCCCAAAGCATTCTTGCAAATACACGGCTCCAGTCAAACCACATGGACCATGTTTGTGCTGCTGGTCCTTGGCATCAGCTCCACACTGATCACTTTTAAACTTTAGCGGAGACCTGCGAGACGCGGCTCGTCACTCGCTGCCCTGACCATGTGGACGAGCTGTCTTTTGCTTAAAAATGCTTTAAGCCGCAGCACAGACGAATGGGAAGATTAAAACAGCAGTTCTCTGTGCGCAAAGGTGCCCAAGCTGTTGCGGGTTTTGGTGCCGCTGTCTCCGCTCTGATCCATTAGAACGCTCAGCTGCACATATGAAAAGTACGCAGCTCGAAATGGCTGTTATTTCAAAGAACGTGGACTATTTTAAACTACGCGGTTAACCGGTTTCAACCGGTTAATGAGGCTCGGTGGTCGGTCATGAAAATTCATAGTTTTTTACATCCCTAGTACAGACCAAAAGTTTGGACACACTTTCTTTTCATGACTATTGACTGTAGATTCACACCCAGGCTGTGTAAGGGCTGTTTGACCAAAAAGGAGAGTGATGGTGCTGGGCCAGATGACCCGGCCTTCAGTCACCGGACTTGAACCCAATCCAGATGGTTTTGGGGTGAGCTGGACCACAGAGTGAAGGCAAAAGGGCCAATAAGTGCTAAGCATCTCTGGGAACTCCTTCAAGACTGTTGGAAGACCATTTCAGGTCACTGCCTCTGGAAGGTCATCAGGAGAATGCCAAGAGTGTGTGAAGCAGTAATCAGAGCAAAAGGTGCTACTTTGAAGAACTTAGAATATAAGACATTTTCAGTTGTTTCATACTTTTTTTAAGTACGTACTTAATTCCATAGTTTTGATGCCTTCAGTGTGAATCTACAATTTTAATAATCATGAAAATGAAGAACAATTTTTGAATGAAAAGGTGTGTCCAAACTTTTGGTCTGTACTGAAGATTAATAAATATTACTCTTATAACAGATTTTAAGATTTCATATTTTCTTTTGGGAATATTTTCTGTAAATGTTTGAGTATATTGACTGCATGATGTATAAACTACATATTTTCCAAGAGACGTGTCTGTTCTTTCAACCATCCTTAAGAACTATTGGATATAAACAATTATAAGTGATACTGATCCAGGATTAGACACTATTATTCAGTTTATCAGATTATCCAAAGTTCCTCATTCACACTTCATCTGGCTCACTTTAACTGGACTACATTTGTTTTGCACCCGTGAAGGATTCGTTCTCAAACTAGTGATAGCAAAATGAAGCATTGGATTGCAGCCCATTACAGGATCGAGGTGATTCATGCTCCACTACGCCATCATGTGGACAAGCAAATGTACAACACTCTCAGGTGCTTACAAAGAATAGTGGGGTCTAGTATTATTTATGGTATACATGCTGTATTGGAAATGCTTCATGAACTATGAGGCTTTCAGTCAATTGTGTTGACACAACATATGGCATACAAAGGGTTAGGGCACTGCAGTTTTACAAAAAAAGTTTTAAGAAAAACTCCTAGATTACACAACAAACTATTTCCCAAGAATTAAGTATGTACTTTGCCGATACAAAAGATGAAATACCTTTGGCGGGAACCACTTACCCTCTGAATCCTAGACCAACTACTACTGACCACGCCAAGCATCTATTGCATGAATTGTGTTCCAATGTTGAATTATCTTAAAAGACTGGGTATATGAAAACTGAGGCTTCCATTTTTATTTCATATTAAGTAAATTTGCAATAATTAGACACAGGACTGCTCCACATCACGCACACAGACTGGTACAGCCACGGATCACAAAGCAACCCGTTTAAGCAATGCACTCTGAACTGTATGAAGCGCCTCTGATCTGTCATGTGGTGCGGCGGCTTCGAATGTCACTACAAATGCGCCTCTATTCACATTACAAAAATAACCTTCAAGATTACTCCGTACGCTCAGCACATCACTATCTCAAACTAAACTGACTTAAAAACAAGCGGATACATTTAAATATTAGTGTAAGTATAACCACCAGATAAAGCATTTTTCTCCTAGTGATACAGAAGGTGTCCATCCATTTTCTACCCTTTAATCCATTCCTGCGTCAGGGGGGGTGGCAGTCAGAGATGCCACCCAAGTCTCATAGCACCAGCCCCTCACTGACCCTCTGCAGGTGGTGAGTCCACAGGAGGACGGCTGCTCTCTGAGTGTGAGCATAGCCTTGATCTTTCAGTGGGGGCTTTGGGCAAAGTGGGGTTAAGTGTCTTGCCCAAGGACACAACGACAGGAGTCATCAGTGGGAGTCGGTGGAAAAGGTGTAGAGGTGGGAAGGTGTCCAGTTAAAGGTAAACCAGACCAACAATTATGAACAATCCCAAAAGTTCCAATCACAGGTTGTACCCAGACTTATGTTGTGCCAGAAGCTCACACCAATTTAGCTTGGGCCTTCAGTACCATCGTCTAAAATATAGTTACTCAAACATTTCATTTAAACCAAAGACACATAATGAGCTTTGTAACAGAATTGATTTAATTACATGACAGACTTTATACTAATAAGTATAAGCAAAACCATAACAAATATAAAAAGGAAATAATTAACATGAAAAACAAGATGTTAAGAACACAGACTCATTTGACTTCTCACTTAGTAATAAATGGCATAAGCAATAGATTCACAATGTAGTCAGAAAAGGTTACCACCTAATTGTAATGTCAACATGTGTTTGTATTCCTGTGACCAATAATTTTTCACTTGTCCAAGTCTCTAGACGTTTGGAGGGATGTGACGATGGAGATAATCCTTCCAGTTGGTGTTGACCAAACCAACCATGACTATCCAGTCAGAAAGTCAACAATGGCAGGTTTGGTGCAAACATGGGAAAGCAGGTCTTTGCAGAATGTTCCCTACCTCTGTCCATTAGTCCATTCACAGAAGTCCGCTTAGAAACCCATGCCGCCTCCCATGCCTCCCATACCCCCCATGCCACCCATGCCTCCCATGCCTCCAGGCATCTCCTTCTCTTCCTTCGGAATCTCTGTAATAACTGCCTCAGCTGTAGCGAGCAGTGACGCTACTCCTGCAGCATCCAGCAAGGCAGTTCTTACCACCTGTTTGAAAAGAAAATATAGGTTTCATATATACAAAAGCACTTCTTGCAAAAAGGTGCAACATTTAAAAAAGCTATTTGGGATGAGTCACCCATTTGAATTTATGATTTCCAGAGCCACTTTATTTCATCTACTGTCCATAACATCTTTGCTTTTGCTGAATCACAAAACTCATTTGCTGCAAGCAGCATTAACACACTGCTATAATGGCTTGTATTGTAAATATACATTTTGTTTACCTTAGTGGGGTCAATGATGCCCTTCTCCACCATATTGACATATTCTCCTAGTAGAGCATCGTAGCCAGTGTCCAGCGGTCCCTGCAGGATCTTCTCCACAACCAGAGAGCCATCCACACCTGCATTCTTTGCTATGGTCATGGCAGGAATGCGGAGTGCTCGCTTAATAATTTCCACACCTAGACAAATTAGGGACATGTAAAAACTGTACAGGATTGAGTGAAACTGGCAGTTCCTTGACCAACCTATCTGCTGGTCTGAGTTGGCAGTTTTAAGGCTCTCCAGTGGCTGGATACAGCGCAGCAGTGCACAACCACCTCCAGGAACAATGCCCTCCTCCACCGCAGCTCGAGTGGCATTCAATGCATCAGTGACACGGTCCTTCTTCTCATTCACCTCTACATCACTGGTTCCTCCAATCTGAACAAGGAGAACAAAAGTTAGAACCTAAGCTACTGTGCTAGTTAAAATAATCTTATAAAATGTTAATACATACCTTTAGCACAGCCACTCCATCAGACAACTTGGCAAGTCTCTCGTTCAGTTTCTCTTTTTCATAGTCGCTGGTAGTGTTCTCCAACTGCTCTACTATCTCTGTGGCACGCTTCTCAACATCAGCAGGGCTCCCTCCTCCTCGCAGCAGCAGTGTGTCATCCTTGGTAATTTGTACTTCACCTACTTTTCCAAAGTCATGAGGCTGAATGTCTTCAAGAGTCACGCTCATGGCCTCATCACCAAACACCTGATCAAACAAGTAAGCTCAGTGAGGACATTTTGTTTGACAGTGAGCGAGAACTGAAAACGTAATTGTAAAACATCTGCCCATACGAGTAAATATTGGAAATGGGAATTTAATGGATCAGTGTTCTAAGAGTGCTTTTCCAGTTTACTTACTGTGCCGCCTGTGGCAATAGCCATGTCTCTCAGCTGATTTTTTCTGTTGTCACCAAACCCTGGGGCTTTTACTGCCACCACCTGCAGCCCAACTTTTAACCTGAAAGCAATTACAACAGATTGTTTAAAAGGATTAACCATAGTCTTTTTACAGACTTCATAGTTGTGTTATACCTGTTGAGAACCAATGTGCTGAGGGCCTCTCCATCTACATCTTCTGCAATAATGACCAAAGGTTTGCGGTGCTGATTAGCAATTTCCAAAGCAGGCACAATGCTCTGGACACTTGAAATTTTCTTCTCACTCAGCAACAAATAGGCATCTTGAAATTCGCATTTCTGACCTGGTAAAAATTGAGATATTTGGCATAAGGGCAAGTTGCAGATTTAAATACGGACTATGCAGCTGTACCTTTGGCAGTGTTGATAAAATAAGGTGAAATGTAGCCACGGTCAAACTTCATGCCCTCAATTATTTCCAACTCATCATGAAGAGTCTTTCCATCCTGAAAACAGGAATTGATAAGAGTTTAACATATTGAACAGTAAAGTAAAAAGCTTTGCAACTAACCTTGACAGTTATTACTCCTTTGCGACCCACTTTTTTCATGGCATTAGAAATAATGTTACCAATTTCCACATCACCATTGGCCGAAATAGTTGCTACCTGCAAATACATACATGAGTACCAAAACTTTAGTCTTAACAAGTTGACAGATCTGCATAGCATACCTGTGCAATCTCCTCTGGTGTTGTGACCGGTTTTGAGAGGTTCTTCAGCTGATTTATCACATGCTCCACAGCCATCATCACCCCCCTGCGGATTTCCACAGGGTTGGCACCTTTGCTGATGGAATCAAAGCCTTCTTTGGCAATGGCTCGAGCAAGAACTGTTGCAGTGGTTGTGCCATCTCCTGCCTCTTCATTCGTGTTATTGGCCACATCCTGAACCAACTTAGCGCCAATGTTCTTGTATTTGTCCTTCAGATCAATGGCTTTAGCTACAGTTACACCGTCCTTGGTGACTTTAGGGCTGCCCCAGGACTGCTCAATAATAACAGTGCGACCCTGAAAGAGATTGGGACAGCGATGAGAACCTAGCAAATGAGCACATACTAATCATCCTTACCTTTGGACCCATAGTAACAGCGACAGTATCAGCAAGCAGATCAACTCCCTGCAGCATAAGTGCTCTGGCATCTGCACCAAACTTTACATCCTTTGCATAGGCCCTTGTGAGGTGAGGTGCCAATGCCCTGCACACTGGCCTGACCTGCTTCATGACTGTAGGGAGACGAAACATCTGCCAAAGATAATAAAATTAAAAACATTAAAACAATATAAAAAAATATTTTGACCAAAGTTTGGATAAACAGTAATTTACCTTTTATGATTACAAAAGGAATTTACATAAATAAATTCAATAACTGTCTGGATATACATTGTGAAGATAAGATTTGTTACTTGCAAATGCATATTGCCAGAGACTAATCCACCAATCCAGCCATCCATTTTCTTCCCCTTAGTCAATTTCTGGGGGGTGGGGGGGTGGCAGTCAGAGTTGCACCCAGTACACATAGCACCAGCCCCTAAAACTATTAATCCTTTAAATCGAATTACCTACTAAGTTTTGAACAGACCACAGATTCGAAACTTGATACGTCATATAACGTCATATAATTTTCATGTAATCAATATCAACTCACAATGACAAGACACTGAACGAATTGTAAGTCTTGCAAGATCATTCGATTTTGATTAAGTCGAGTTCCCCGTCAACCCACGTGCCCCCCTCCAGGTCGTGCGTCACAAGGTCAAACCGAAAAGCATGTGCGGAAGTGTTTCTCCATCCTTGATAAAGACCAGAATGAATGAGACAGCACTTAAACATCACGCTTACCACCGGACTTAGCTCACGTTTAAGCACGTCAAACGACGTACATGAACCGAGATGAGGTATATCTATTAGGTGTAGGTTACCCAAAGTTGAATTATTCTTATTAAGTAACGACTGTCCATATTATGAAATCACTTGATGTATCTGTACTTCAGTCATTGCAACCAGCTGTCACTTAAAACGACGGAGGTCTAGTGGGTCTGATCACCAATAGCTAGCAGACAGGCAAACTAGCACTGATAAATTACATATGTTAACCCTGTACTTCAACATTAATTCGTTGCACATTCCGAGTTTGATTAAAACATGCGTTCGTTAATATATAAGACTCACTGTGTTCGCAGAATGGATAGAGTCAATGACAGTACTTACTTTTGCGGTAAAGTTGTAGGAGAATGTGCACGTCTGTTCGTCGGGGTGATATAAGCGTGAGGCTGAGGACAGCGGTGCGAAGGCTTTTTCAGATGGGACTGCACATGGCCTTTCACATCCGGGTAACTTACCGGTACACCCGGGAACATGAATAATGAGAATGGGAACTGTTTAATCGTTTTTAGATTGCACTATAAATGCATTTCTGGACCTTAAAACACTCACTCGATATTCTCTGTGATATTTAATTAATGATATGGAAAAACTAATTCTCCTTAAAGCTAAAACATGCCAGAGACCTTGATAATGCTCATTTCCGGGAATGGGGTTCCAGAATTTTCGGCTGTGCCCATTGGAGGAAAGGGTGGAGATTAAAGTTCAGATTGTGCAACATTGCTCTAGGTTGAAATTATTTAACATGAATACATTTTAATTCTATGCTACCACCGTGTGCTAGTCTGTCATATCAGTCATTAACACATGAAAACATAACAAACATTCAATCCAGTGACATTTCTATTCGATTATTATTTGAAGTTTGACAACAACTGCGCATGCGCACCATACTTCTAGTCATTTCTTCACGTGTAGGTTTCTTCAGTGTCCCATCATCCACGCCGTGTCAGATACCGGGGTGCTGCTCTGCGTCTATTCTCACAACGCACTCGTACAGAAATGGTAAGATACTTTGCACACATCGTTTTGGCTGTCTTTGCTTTTCCGCAGCCGATAAGGCAGATACATGGTCCTGTTAGCTAATAGATGCTAGTCATTGGATAAGGCTAACCAGAACATAGCCAACATCTGCTTGACAAGGTCACTCCAAAAGCACGACTTCGAACAGAGAATTCTCTTTAACGTGAAGTATTGTTTTCCTAATCTGTATTATTATTATGTTTCATTCAATAAGCAGAAGCCCCTGTTGACGTGTTAAATGGCCATTGTGAGTTTCATTCATAGATAAGTCAGACATCTTTTACCTCACTGTTTTCCCTTCCAAATTTACTAGCTTGTTCTTACCAACTGTGATTAAAGCAGTTCAGTTTTAAGTTATGTTTTAAATTGTATTAAGACATTGTTTTATCTAATACCCATATCTACTAAATTTAAAACTTAATTACCAACAAAGCGGGGACCAAAGCTTTTCAAAATTATCAGTGGTAACACTTTTTGACTGTATGAACTAAACATCCTGATGTTGAGCGAATCAGGGTTTATCCTAAAGTAATGCAAATGTGAAATGTTATCTTTTAGTCCTCCACATGGTGGGTTAGCCATCACCTCTGCCCTCAAACTTGAGTTCATTACATCATGTGACCTATTCCCTCCATCCCATCCTCAGGCAACCTTCAACCAAGGTCATGTACATCTGTTATGAAATTGTTGTCTTCTCTTAATTAACCTTATTACCCCCTGTTACAATAAATTCACATCCAGCACAATCTATTGAACAATTTACTTTTCTCTGAAACGCCTTTTTTTCTCATAACTTTTCTGTTCTTTCAGGCCTTCAGAAAATTCCTTCCCTTGTTTGACCGGGTGTTGGTGGAGCGTTTAACAGCAGAGACTGTCACCAAGGGGGGCATTATGCTACCAGAGAAGGCACAGGGCAAAGTGCTTCAGGCCACAGTTGTAGCAGTCGGTCCTGGATCAGTAAATCAGGTAATGGTTCCATCAACAACCTCTGTGGCTATTCATTGTATTAATGTGTTATTGATTTTCTGATCATTTCCAGAAAGGAAATATTCAGCCGCTTAGTGTAAAAGTTGGAGAGAAGGTCCTTCTGCCGGAATATGGTGGAACTAAAGTTATGCTAGATGACAAGGCAAGTGGTTTAAATTGATATGTGATTCTTACATTATAATTGTTTATATTTAATTGGTATTAAATATAATTATTAACTCACTCTAGGACTACTTCTTGTTCCGGGATGCAGACATACTTGGCAAATATGTTGATTAAGTCGAATGCCTTGATATTCATTGCTGAACAACATGTCTTTGTCTTAACCATAGATAAGAAAATTATGTTGTCCCATTCTTCATATTTTTTTGTTATTGCCATTGTAAATAATTCTAATCACGTTTTGTTACAATAAAACTATACTGTCATACATTGTCTCCTGTTCTGTTATTTCTGTCTTTGCCTCATTTGTGATCGAGGTAATCTGGGGTGTTTGAGCCTGATAAAAGGGGTTTATCTCAATCTGTCTAATCGAGGGCTCAACTCGTCTGGACTAGAAGATTTAAACATGAATGTCTATTGGTTTCATCAAAATGCATACCTATAAAGCAATAGCTGTAATTTTATACATGCTAATGAAACGGCTTTTAAATGCAAATGCAACAAAGATCATTCAGAAAAGTTAAGACCAGAAGCTTTCGACAGAGGTCGGAGTGTGTCGCTACAACGCAGAGCGAGCGAACATCCGGGTATTCTGTCGCGATGGTCATGGCGGAGGGCTCTGCAGTTCTCAGGAGGAATCGGCCTGGAACCAAGGCAAAGGTACCTCTTCCACAGCACAACACGCCCGACAGCGCGGTGTCATACGTCTACTGTAACCATATTTCTGTGCATGTATTTAATTTCCAAGTATGTTGTTTGTATCACCTGTATGTAGTCCATACTGGAAGGCCCGATCTGGACATTGGCAGTAGGCTAACATCAGCTAGCTTCCTGTTCACTTCCCGGTGTATTCTCCACTAAAGTTGTTCCCGACTCAATCACAATGAAGCCACCGTTTATCGTTGACACGTTAAAAGTGCTTCTAGACATAGGCCATGCTGTTTATCTGAATCATTTTACATTTCAAATGCTTTGATCTTGATGTGCCACGCTGCGAGCTTTTCGTTAGCCTGAATATGAACGTATTTCCCTGAGCTGCAAGATCACTAGTTTCAATTTGGATTTAGGATTAAACATTTATTCTCGCTATACCTTGACACAACCACCACTTTTGTCTTTTAATGGTTTGCGTGATTGTTACTTTGACCATGAAGCTCTGAAGTACGTCAGCTACTCCCTGTTTGTATATAGACTCATGCTCTTCCATGTGTAGGATTTCTACAACTGGCCTGATGAATCATTCGAGGAGATGGACAGCACCCTCGCTGTTCAACAGGTGCGTGGGACTCTGAGAGGGACACCTTTCACACATCGTGATCTTTGATGGGCTTGGACACTTAATGCCTCTGTCATTTCATAGGAGTTACGACATACTCAGTGGGGAAACTCACTGTTTAACAATAGTAGGAATAAAGGAAACTCTCATAGGTCGCATAACTATCCTATACGTTAAGTAAATAACTTCTATGAAATTGAAATACAAGTTCATCAATTTGACGACTCTTAAGATTTCTATTTACAATAAAATACTACATTTAATGCAATAAACCTTTTTGAATGGATATGTATAATTGTAGATTAAGTGAGTCATCCCTGGACAGAGAATTGCACATAACTTGCATAACCCTTACATTATTTTTTAAGAAAGATGAATGACACGGATATGCTATTCAATTGCATATGTTTGTGCAAATAAACTTTGGAAATATTACATTCTTAAAGAGATTCCATTCATTCTTTTCCACAGACATGACCTGTAACATGGCCTTGTGGTGTTATCAGCTAATTCCCATAAACAAAGTTTAATGCCATTGTTGCAACCAATATCATCTCTTTGAAAGCTATATTGCTACTCGCCGCCTTCTGAAAGTGTCATACAGTCATGATAATGTTTTTGCTTGTCATGTCATTTGTTGACTAACTGGTTATTCTTTTTCTACTCTTTTACAGTATATACAGCAGAATATCAGGTCAGATTGTTCAAATATTGACAAAATCCTAGAACCACCAGAAGGACAAGATGAGGGTGTGTGGAAGTATGAACACCTCAGGTATGTTTGTCTACACAACTCCAGATGCATCACAGCTGCTGTTTTTACCCGTCTATTTTGTCACACACAGGCAGTTCTGTTTGGAGCTTAATGGACTGGCAGTCAAACTGCAGGTAGAATTATAAAAGTTTGTCTCAATCAACAAACATAATATTGTCTGCTCTTAGCAATGTAACGTTTTTTGTATTTCATGGTTCTCCTCAGAGTGAGTGCCATCCTGACACCTGCACCCAGATGACTGCAACAGAGCAGTGGATCTTTTTATGTGCTGCTCATAAGACACCCAAAGAGGTAAATGAAGAATAAATGGTATGTTGCGTTTGTTTAAAAATGTATGTTGATTTCCCTCCCATTCTACTTGTAGTGCCCTGCCATTGACTACACCAGGCACACGCTGGACGGAGCTGCCTGCCTTCTTAATAGCAACAAATACTTTCCTAGCAGGTTTGTAATTATCCTAATAATTAGTTTTACTGATCAGTTTTGATCAAGTTATTAATAGCCTTCATCTTCTAAGGGTGAGCATCAAGGAGTCATCAGTGGCCAAACTCGGCTCTGTGTGTCGGCGCATATATAGGATATTCTCTCATGCCTATTTCCATCATCGCCAGATATTTGACAAGTATGAGGTGGGTATTTACAAAAACCACCTCAAACCAAAGGAACCATAGATTTGTGAAAACAGTTTTATTTCTTTGTTTCAGAATGAAACCTTCCTGTGTCACCGGTTTACACGCTTCGTAATGAAGTACAATCTGATGTCCAAGGACAACCTGATTGTGCCCATTCTGGAGGAGGAAGTTCAGAACACCTCATCGGCAGGAGAGAGTGAAGCCTAAAGATACAGCAGCTGCCATAAAGTAGAAATATGTGTACACAATTTATACAGTGATGGTTAATCAACTCAGACACACATACCCATACTGGACACACACTACAGTGTATTTAGGCTCTTGTCTAGCGTCACTGTCTGTTGGCCTCCTCCTCTGTAATACCCCGAGTCTGTCTGAACGGCTGTAAGATATGACTACACCAGAGGCTATTGGTACAAAGCTGGCTGACTTATGTTTCATAGATGAGTGTCTATTGTATAAGCGGTACTACAAAGCATGTTCATGCCTCACTCGAGCAATGAAGAAGGAACTATTAATCAAAAGTATTATTGGAAGACATTCGATTCAGAAAATTCCACTGTCTGAACATATGGGATTACCCCAGGGGTAATCCCATATGTTCAGTCATATTTTCAAACAGTGGAATTTTCTGAATCGTTTTGTGCCCTTATTCCTGAAACCCCCCACCCCCCGTCTTAGATCATGGATTCTTGTTGCTGATTAACCAAAGAATAGTCCAATTTTAGATTTACCCTGAAAGAAAGTGACATGGCTTTGTAGTACCGCAAAATAACTGCATAGATAACTTTAGCATTAAGTATTGTTCAGAATTATTCTGTGCCTCTTCCACCAGGGGGCACAGCTGTTTGTTAGTACAGACCCCTTTTCACCACGTATAGGGAACTTTTTGTTAATTCTTATGAGCAGCTGGATTTGCAAACTTTATGTAATCATGGTGATCTGTTTTGATGACAATGGCACACTGACAGCCTCCCCCTGTAAATATCCCCGTCCCTGTATCTTTGACATAATATTTTCTGATGGTGCTTCACTTTTTGTGTCTGCTTCTGTTCTATATTTGCTTGTGTTGCCTCCTCCTTTGGGGATGTCCCATGTTATGGATCACTAAATTAGCCTGCTGACTTAATTATGCATAAACACAATGTAGGTGTGGTTTGTGTGGTAGTGAACAATGAAATCTAATCTCTAGCTTTGTACATGTATTAGCAGTCGGATATTCTCCCTCTATGGCTCTGACAGAGTATTATGGAAACTTCTCAGCCAACTCTGATCCTGCTTTGTGACATGCCCCTGTTTTAGCGTAAAACGTGCTCAGTATCGCTGTGCCTGAATGGATTAATTGTGATAAGCTTTGCGAGCACAAACTGATGCTTGAGGCTAGTTTTATTGCTTTCCACATTAAAAACCACAAAGGATGGAATATTGGCTACACTGAGCACAACCTCCCATCTTATATTCTCCCTCATTAAGTTATTTTGTGGGAGGAATCTTGTCAATACAGCCCACTTTTTTTTTTCTAATGAACTAAACATTTTGTTACCGTTGACATTTTCATGTCTGTTAATAAAAAAAAAAACCCTATTATTCACACAAGTTTACAAATTGATTCATTTGCATTTTTACAAGCTTTTTCCTTTTAGTAACAATGTCATTCATAATGTTTTAAACAAGTGAAATATACAACCTTCCCATGGTGCACAACAGATGCTGTTGTAAACATTAACTCCATAATACAGTATGTGAAAATACTGGTGCTGCTGACACCTTAAATAATTATTTCAATTGTTACACATCACACTCCCAATAAAATAAATTATCTTACAATATGTACAATAACACAAAAACAACACTGTTTTACTAATACAAGTCATATTGGATTTAACGCTGACAAGAGTACCACTATTCTAAAGACTTAATGGAATAAGTCTGATCAAAACAAAACGCGGGTCATCATAAGCTCAGTACCACAGTCAGTGGTGAACGGAAAGACTTAAATCCTGCAACATTCCAAAATAACTGGAAAGACACTTTTGAGCATCATGTTAAAATGTGTCTTTATATCCTCAAACACAATTCTTTTCCATTATTTTAAACATTATACTCAATATGGCTTAATAAAATAAAAGTGCTTAGATCAAAAGGAAATATTAAACTTGATGGCAACAGAACAGTTTGTTGACAGAATTGTCCAATCAGGAAGGGGGGCCTCATCCGCTGTGTCCACATCCTCTTCCTTGGTTAATCCCATTCAAAATAAATCCTGATGTAATGTCTGGAGGAAGTGTGGTCTGAGGCAGCTCACATACAGGTGACCTCAGCTTTGCCCTCTTCAGGTTCGAAGACGCCCTCCTCCATGTGGGACAGGGAGCTGGGATATCCCCCACCAAACACTGGGAACCCCCCAATCCCTCCCAAAGGGGAGAGGTCCTGTGGGGAGACCGGGCTCCCCAAGGACCTGCTCACAGAGCGACTGGAGACTTCACTGTGAACAAATAGTGACTGTGGACACAAATGTTTGACATATTCAGTATATGCACAGGTTTATAATGAGATTATACATGTATTTTTAAAACATATAAGCTTTGAGTTGTTTTTTAAATACAATATTGCTTCCAATGGCGATTTGAATTACAGGCAATTAATGCAGTTAATGCAAATTACTGCAATATTGCCTAAACTACTCATCAATTATTTCACTGACAATACAAAGATAACATCTAAATAGTTGACAGCAGTGATCCAGAATCTCATGTGTCTTGCCTTGTTCTTCTGTTGAGCTGCAATCTGACCTCTCACTGGTCTTTGTAGAAACACAACTTGCTTGGTGGCCAGGTTGCCGTCACTTAAAACAAGATAGAGTATTTAAAATTAAATAAAATGACAGTTTTGCTTTTTATTCTAGTGTATGAAGAACCTGTCATGTCGGATAATGGGCGTAGGCAGAACACATGTGAGAAGCCAACCAAACTCTGCCAGTGTGTGGAGGAGCGGCCCGTAGTCTGTCTTCACATTGGATCCCTGATCAAAAAACAAAAGTAACAGTTTATGATTTGTCATCTTCATTGTATTAATATAGTGTTTAAATCTGGGATACCCAACTTTTCGCCCATAAATAACAAATCAGACCACGACATGCTACATCTATGTAGAAAACATTAGATCTTTTCCATACATTTTGGGATAAGGCTGAGTGAGGGTCTGCTCTTTTTTTTTCCTATCTGAGGCAGGGAATAGTTGGATACCCAAGCTTACATTACTGCACGAAACAGACCTCAATGACTGTCCATTGCTCCACCACTATAGTGTCGTTGGCAGGGGGCGCTGTGCTTCTCTCTTCGTACACGAACAGCCCCTCCAGTGATCTGGGCACAGGCTCTCCTGAAACCATACAGAAGGGAATGATGAAGGACCTTTGACAAATAGAGCAGGCGGCGAGTTCCTGTTAGAATATTCTGTGTTTATTATTTCTAATTCAAGACTTATGATGTTTACAGACTATTTGGATTCCTGTTGTTTGTCCACGGGAACAGGAAGTGAAGCTTCCAAGGTCAATAAAACATCTCCAAATTTAGATTTGTAGGAAGAGTTTATGCAGGGGACAGTTTTAATCTATAAAAAACTTGTCTTGTTCCTCTTGCTAATACTTTATCTCCTCTAACTAAATCTAACAATTTAAACTGCATCAGTAAAAGATACATTTACTTTTGCACTCCTTCATTGTAGGTATGTCGAATGTTTTTCCCTAAAAAAATTAAAACATTTTGTTTTCCTTTTATTTCTTTTCAATACATAGTTTTTATTTAAGGCCTCTAAGGGTTCCTTCCCGAAACCAAGATCAAACATACCTTTGGGTGTGTCCCAATACACAAACGAGTCCACCAATGACCATCCTTTGCGGTAGTAGGCCGCTGTCAGTTCCAGCCAATCAGCTTCCAGGGAACTGACCACCTGGCCCTTTCTGGCTACCCGCATGGACAGTGCCCCCTGGTGGTACTGACACCCCAGAGAGTCCAGAGGGGCACAGCCGGGGGCCCACGAGTGGAAGAAGACCAGTAACCGCAAGTCTTGACCACAAAAAAGAAAAAGAACATGAAAAATCTATGAGCCGAGGAAAAGTCCTAAGAGTTGTAAAAGTAGTACCTGGACTGTATGCGTGCTCCTCGAGGTCTCCGTCTCCTGGGGGGGTGCGAGGGGGAGTGCGAGGAGGAGAACGACAGCTTCTTTTTGGACTGTGGACTCGGCCGTTAGAGACGCCACTCACCTGCTGCAGGACAGAGCCAACAAAACGAACACCCCCTCGAGCACTGCTGTTCACCTGTGGAGAAGATATGTATTATCTCAAGATTCTGATGGTCAATTGGACTGGAAAAGCACTCTGGATTCAAACCAAAATCATAATATGTACATTTTTGAGTTTCACGGAAAATGTAAAAAACCCTCATGAATTTATGAGTTGTTCAATGCTCACAAACAAACTAACAAACTCAGATGAAAACATAACCCTTTGGCTGATAAATAGGGAAAGTTTAGAGATTTCATGAAACTTTGAAGCAACTGTGGTTAAAGTTCTAACTCATCATTTTAACAATATTATAGAGCCAGTACTTTTCCACAGCATGTTTTGGTTTCCTGAAGGCCAAGCTACTGGCATCGCGGTGAAAGCTGATTGGACGGTGTTCATTCCTCCGCTGTATATTATCACATGGATTCTGTAACATCTTTGTTCATGCTGTCTCGACCATCGACAATAAAACATGTCTTCTGTCTGAATTAAAGACACGATCCCAGACTTTGTCCATCTTCTTCAAAAGTAATCATTTCATAGTGTCAGGGTGCTTTACAATTCTGTGTATTTTCTACTCAACAGGAAGCTTTATCAGAAGCTTGCATGAAAGGTCCGACGTCATGTTATTTTATGATGAACGCAAATTCAAAATCAAAATCATGTAATATAACTGCATTTAATGTGTGTTATCGTCATTACTCACCCGGTCGATAAGCGCTCGGACAGTGTCTCCGGTCAGTGAGTCTCCGGGTAAAGGCCACTCCTCCACTCTCAGCACGGGAACACTATGGCACATGGCGGCTGTCTGCTTACTGCAAAACACAACATAACTTAAGTTTGTCTACGCTCCCAGTCGTACAGGGATTATTCAGAACTAAGGAAGGTTTCTCATCATCTGTACTTTAGTTAGCAGGTTTTTCCGACGTATTGTCCTTAATCCAAAGAACTTTCTCAAGGGAATGAAAACTCGGGGCTGGGCTTTGAGAAAGTTCTTTGGAAGTTCCACCTGAAGTATAGATGATGGGTGAACATAACTTAACTTAGGAGACATTTTAGTAGAACCCAGTCAAAATGGTTGATCCAGCTGGTAAGTTCATAGTTCATGTGTTAATGCTACTTGCCCGTAGACACAAACACATGAATCATTAATCAACTCAGCAGGAGACGGCCACAACACACTGTCTGAGCAATTACACACAACAGTAAACAAAAGATATGAGTGATCTAAAGTGACAACGCTCAATACAGTAGATGGCTATTCATAAATTAAATACACCCATACAAGGTGGACCTAATACAATCTATAGTCCGCACAAACGCCACAGTAAACCAACATGAAGGACATTTTCAATTGGTAAAACTAAGATGAATTATTACAGCTTCAAACTGCCTTAATGTGCTCACAACCATAATGATATTGCATGACAAATGGCATTATCATATTTAATCTCAGCTCTTGTGTGATTTTTCTGTAATTTTAAAATCATTTGGGACATAGAGTTCCATCATATTCAAACCCCATTGGTTGACCTGTTGTTGCCAGGTAGACATATCCAATAGGAACCCAGTAACACTTAAACCAGTTACCATCTCTCCTCTCACACCAGTCTGACCTCCTACAATGGTTTTTCATTAAATATAAATCTCTCTCCATATATAATGTATTGATTTACTAGACAGTATCATAGTAAATGAGTCTGCACAGTGGGAGGGCAAGAGTAGAGTCAGGAAAGTCACGAATCTTAGTTTCACATTTTGTAAAAACTAACCAAAGCAGTTGTAGTCTTTTGCATAAATCCCTGATAGTCATTATTTGAAGTTTTGGGCTGAGAGATGATCTGAATAAGAGTGGCCACAGTCTTTTCTTTTGGCCTGAGTCACATCTTTAGAACAGCTTTTCAGACAAAAAGGTGAAAATGAAAAGCTGATCGAGAGATGTGACCGAGTCCAGAAATCCATGCTTGGATTTTGATGAATCAATTTTTTTGTCTTTTATGGTATTTTATGGTATCGCTTCTGTTTTTTTTTAATCTACCACAGAATGCATTGCCTGTCTCGCTGAAAAAAATAACTTGTATGATAAATTTCCCCAAATATCAATTTTTTCTTGTCTTTTAATTAAACAGCCAGAATCCAGTAAAAAAGATTTAAAAAAAAATAAAACAAATTGGATTCCAAAAAATGCAAATGGGTCAGTCCTTAATAAACAGTCAAAACAGATGTGATATGTAATAATTAAACCCGACACTTGCCCTGAAAGCATTAGGAGTGAGTAATTATTGATGTACCTCAGTCTGGGACGGGCGAGGATGGCCCGGTACAGCAGGCTGAACGGCAGAGCGCGGCTCCGTCCCACAGACAGGATGATGGGGTGCAGCGTGGTCAGGACGTACCCCTGTGTGTAGTACGGCTGCAGGGCCTGAGGCAGCTCACACAGAGACGACACATACTGCACTGTGGGCCGACTGCCTGAAAGAGACAATGCCACAAGTTTAACTAGTTATCGTAAATATAGTATAATGAATAGAATTGGATGGCTGAATAGAATTAGTGATGAATAACAAAAATTATTACCCGAGTGGATTGACAGTTTAATCCGCCTTGAATATAGTAAATACCATCACCATACAGAAAGAAAATCATCAAAACATTCATTTATTCATTTATTAGGTTTTTCTAAACAGAGAAAAATATAGACCATTCACACTGGATGAGTACAGTACAATATTGTGGAGGTCAGGTGGAGTTCCAGAGCCGGGGGGCAGAATGACTGACCCCCATGGTGACGGACTGAGGCGACAGAGAGCTGAGGAGAGGACACTGAGCAGACACATTGAGAGTTCCACTTTGTTTGTTATAAACATTCTGCTGGCATGAGTTTTAGGGTGTCCTCACACTTTATCCAGAAGTGAACCAGAGTTTACTTCAAATTAAGCAATTACGGACAAGTTGGTTCACTTGGGACCATAGACTGTATATATGAACGGACGTAGTCACGCCTATCTCCGCCGTTCTAACTAATGGGCCAAAAATTGGGCTTTCATGGAGTGAAAAAACGCATCTGCGCATGCGTGAGCTGCACGAGCCCCATTCATTTAAACGAGAGACTTCAAAAATTCACAGCGAGTAAACTAGAGTGGTCCAAAAACATTCACTCCTCTCAGCATTGACACACACGTGGAACGGAACTTTGGGCCAAGAGCCGAATGTTGGACCATCCTGTAAAGACGTTTTCAAGAGGTAAGAAGATGCTATTTGTTAGCATTGGCTAATTCTTATTCCGGGTCCACCCCCATCGGCCCGGGGTGGTATTGCAAGCATGTCAGCGCACATCATTTTGGCCACTTTTGAGCCGGGACCCGCCCCCACTGGTTGGGACTTATATTTATTCATATTAGTGTGAATGGCCATTTAGAGTCTTTAAAGTCCAGCAATCACAATTCAAGTAATAGTTTGTAGGATATTATGACTTTAATGTAAACTACAACTCAAGTCATCCTTTAGCTCAATTCCAGGAAGTGGCAAATATACTTTTTAAGAACTCTTTAGTTTCATTGTCATTTTGTAATGTTATTGTTATTAGCTGCCATTACAGTAATAATGTATTGAACAGTAACATAACTTCTTCATAATCACCAATTCTCCTCGTGTATCGGTGGAAAATCAGAGTAGAAAAGATCCACAGATAGGCACAAAGTATCAATAAACACGATTGAAAGAAATGTATTAGGAAATGGTTGTTAGTTGGCTTGTTAGAGTGAACATTAAGCAGAAAAGCCATGTGCTGGTTCACACGGGACAACACACGTAATGGCCTGGCCCCAAAACATCAGTTCTGCCACAAAGGAATGCAAGATGGAGACAGACGATGTTATTTTGCTATACATGCTTATTTACTGAAGAACTCAAATGGAACATGACCAATGCAAAGTTCAAAACAGAAACCATGAAAAGGCCCGACCTCACAAATCACGGGACTGGATCCACCAATAAAAGAATAATTATTTTCTTGCAACACCAAATTTAACTGAACTTATTTAAAAAAAAAACAATGGCTGCTGCAACTAATCATTTTGATGCAATTATTTCTTGTGTAGTTGATTATAAACGCCTGTGAAGAGAGGTTTTGCGCCATTTATCACAGCAACGAAACTAAAACGTCTTGAGTGAGTTTAGTTTTCATCATTTTAAATTACATTCTTGATTTGATTGAGCCATTTAACCTTTTATTAAAGCACACGGCAGGATGTGGAGACCATGCATAATGCGGAAAATGATTATTCAATGACCACATTAGTAGACTACTATATGATCAAGTGTTAGCTGGAACATTTTGAGGAGGGTTAACTCTGGTGGCCTGTCCATTTTAACTCATGGAAATCTAATGGCTCTATACATGGCTCTATACCCTGTGCTGCTGAAGGCTGCGGTGGCTAACTGTCAAAGCACAACAAAATGGAACAATGTATAAAAAAAAAACAACAAACATTGTTCCATATCCTCACGCTCAAAACAGTTTGGTTCTATTACTACTTTTTTCAAATCTTTAGATCATCTTTTCAAGACAGAAAAGACGACCTCCTTCATCAACCCTCAAGCCAAAATGTCAAACAGTTACTCACAAGACATTTTCTTACATGTATGCAAAAGATAAAATGTTGACTAATGAGGCTTGACTTGAATTCACTCACTCTTTATGGGACAAATTCATGTATTATGCAAGAAAAAATAAAGTTAGATACCCCAGATTTTACATTTACACACTCCATTTTCTCTCTTCATAAAACGTTGTGTATCCTCTTTGACAACACGCTCGCCGCTGAAGTAGAAAAACAGACATTTTAAGCTCTAAGCAAGTCTCTGTATATGTTTAAGGCAGAGTATTTTTAGATTCCAGATGCTTTTGTGATGTGGCCATGGAGGAGTGCAGCCTCATGTGGTTTGTTGGTCACAGACGTCGGGTCCAGTCAAATGGAACTCACACTAGCCTTTTATAGAATAACTGAATATTATCATTATCTAGGTATTTTTTACCTGAAAAAGACAGCGAGCCAATCAATGTAAATCAACTGTAACTTTCTGGAGAATGTTCTACTTTCTGAAACAGGCAATTGGAAATGTTACGCTGCTATATCCATCTCCGCATACCAGACGGATGTTGATTTGGTTGTATCTAAAATCAACAGGAATTTTTTTACTATCTTGACCTAAAAATGTCTTTTCCAGGCTTTTGGTTAATAATGTATTCTTGACACGCTCTGTCCACCGTCTCCCAAGTGCTCTACTTTTGACTTGTCTTCTTCCATTATCGAAAAGTCCCATGGGCGTCTAAAAATACATTTTCCATAATTTTCATTCATTCAAAAGTCCCCCAAGACACCCAGACTATGATATAACTTATTACTATGACAGCTATGTAGGCTACAAGCAAACACAGTCTTGTCTCCCTCTTTGTAGTAAACCCTGTTATATTTTGTATACTTGTAAGAAAGAACAGCTTGGCCTAGTGAGAGTGGTTCTTTCTTTTTGAACTTTTCTGTCTGAAAATATCGGATCCAAAGATGTGACAGAGCCCAATAATGCATGTATGTGAAAACTAGTGGATAATAAAAACTAAATAGATGTTATTCAATTGAAACGATTCATATTTTTGGTCTGCAACTACCAGCTTCAAGTGGAAAAGTTGTTTGTTCGTGTCTGTTCTCCTTGTTGTTTTCCTCCCTGGCCTTGGCTGGAAATCCCAGGCTGCGACCGTCACCGTACTTCCTGTGTCCACAAAGCCTGGCTGTTCACAGAGGCTTGGCCATGTGCCTCACTCAAAACCCTCCATCTCAAAACACATTTCACAAACTCGCCAACTTCTCCACTCCAGGCTTCATAAATGGGGGCAAAATACGGGGCGCAACGATGAGATAATGTGCGTGAACAAGGGAAAAGAAAGAGCATTCCACGTCGTCGTCTCAACCCCCCACACTCTCACGAACGAACCAGAGAACGGGGGCCACAGCTGAGATGACGACAACATTTCAATGGGCTGTTTGGCTGGATCCATTACCGGGCTAAAGACCACCGGATCCACAGGGAAACTTGTAAATTCGTGGCAGGGCAAACAGCTACAGTTTTATAAGCATTCCTGTGGATATGGACCTCACTTCTAACACCGGGGTGAATTTGGATTGTTGGCTAAACAGAAGGACTGTGTCATGTTGCTTTGAAAGAGAGAGCCTGGAGTTTTAAAACATGTGTCAGTGAGGATGTTCTTTTTGTCTAAATTATTTCTATAAGATCCTATGTGTTTTAAATATCTACACTGTCATTTATCAGTGTAGATTAGTTTTCAACCAATACGTGAAAGCAACTTAAAATATAGTGCTGTGAGCCTTTTAAAACAGACACTGATAAACACTAACAATGATTTTTATCCCTCGAGATGAAGATGAAACATTATATTATTTGTATGTTACAGTTTGGGTTGTATTGCAAAAAAAGGAATCTTTCTACAGTAGTATTATTATAAATATTTTTTTCATTCGCATTATTTGTGGCCATTGAAATGATAAAAATACTGTTTACAATGTCATTTGATGTTTCAGAATGTGAAAAAATATCTTGAGTATAGAAAAAGGATTGGCAAAACATGTATCAAAGTAAATAAAAAAAAGATTTTGATGAGGAACGAGATAACAATGAAACACACTTATCAAAACGTTGAATTTGCATAATATGTCTTTAGTTTCTATTTCACAAAATTCAAGTAAAAAATGCCCTTTTGCAAATTTTTGTTTTATCACGAAAGGCATTCGACCCACAGAGTGCAACTAATGTGTCCCGAGAGGACCACGCTGTCAAACATTTAACTGGATCTTTTGTTGGGTCTTCTGCTCTACCCCTCCCAGGTTTCGGAGCCTTCACACCCCCCGAGCCTCCCCCTTCCTCCCCTCTATCGTGCTGCCAGTCGTCCTATGAAGGGGCCTCTATGGAAGAAGAAAGCTCAGAGGGAGGAGGGCAGAGGACGAGTGTTGATAGGTGGATGTGGGGTGGTGGGTTTTCAGGGGAACAACAGCTATGGCACAGGGAGAAGTGACAGAAGCGGAAAAAATGGACAAGGGGGATTTAGGGGCGGCCTGGGTTTACAAGTCTAAGTTTTATGGGACTGGGAGTGAATAGGAGTGCGCAAGACGGTGCAAAAAGGGGTGGAAAAGTGCCTGGCAACGTGGAACCAGCCAACATGGGTCTAGGGATTGTAAAACAGCTTGATGACGAAAACAAAAAGTCATAATGTAACAGAATGAACTACACCGGACATGTGGTTACTATAATGAATGTCAGGGGTATTTATACAAAGTAGTGGCAGAAGAAAGGATACATAATGCCTTTTCTTCATTCAAAAATGAAAGTGCTTCTGAAAATGTTAAGATGAAAAAAAAAAACCCTGATTACATCAATAGAAAGAAACTTTTCAGCCGCTCTCTTCGTAGTGTAGAGTCGCGGAGGTTCTTGTATCGCAAAGTAATGCCTCCTTTCTTTAGTCTGTGCCGGACCACCTCACTCTGTTATCAAGGAGCCAGGGTTACGTTAAGGAACCTTGAGTTTTGTAATTAGCTGCGTATAAAGTTTATAGTCCATGATAAAAAGCCTTGTTGTTCAATGACGACAAAAAGGTGTTTTTGACACAACTGTTATATTCTACACTTTGCACTTTTTAGACATGTTTGTTTCCTCGGAGCATGTTTACAGTCTCTGCCAGCTAAGCGGCACCGCTGCTGTGTTGAATGAGACACACGTGTGGGGAGGGGCAAAAGTAGGTGGGGGCAAACGCAGCACAGAGAAGGCAAACAAGAAGAGTGGCAAAGGTGAAATAGAGCCAGTATTTCGGTAATGTGAAAAACGGCAAAGTTACTTTTGCAAAATTTTCACCTACGATAATAATCGCCCATCCCTAGGCTCATGGACCTGATAGAAATGTCCAAAGGGCTGCATCTGACCCATGGGCCAGGGTTTGCCCACCGCTGATCTAATGTAATCCATCAAAGGGCACCCGTTTCTGAGATTACTACAGATTTCTATAATGCTCAAACGTAATCATAAACAATAACAGAAATTGTGTCCAAATCAGGGGCAGGGCAGAAGGGCAAATATGATCAAATCATATATCAGAGCATTCAGAAAGACTTTTTTCAAATGAGAAACCAAGATATGCTTACTTCTCCCAGTAACTGTTGGATCACTGCACTAACATCAGACTTCAGATCTTAGTTTACAGAATTATTTAATTATTGCTATATTGAGAGCAGTACAAAACTCTCTATAATCATCAGTGATAGAGAGCACAGACTAACAGATGATTCAAGCTCTGTCAGGACCCAGGCCAGGAGCATGCTGTTATTGTGTCCTTGTGCAAAACACCCTCACCCTCACCCTCATTGCATGCACAACTGTGAGAATGTGTGTGAGAGAATGCCTCCTCTATACGCTGTTACCGTTTGCTATTTAAGCATTGAAACATGAGACGTATGCATCTAAACAATCAATATCCTTCTAAAAGCCATACAAACCAATCTGAAGATACACAAATCCATTCAGTGTGCACGTTTAAGGCATCAGAGCATTTGATGTGCTGCCCGTGGCTCCAGGACAAGACTTAGAAGAGTGGAACCAGGGCAGGAGGAGCATGGGCGGCACAAGGAGGAGTGGGGAATGGAGATGTCCCAGAAATGTTTCATCGTTTTAAAGAGACGATGGGAAAAGTAGGGAAGGGGGACACGAGAATGCATTCTACTCAGACTACAGTTCAACAGATACGGATACTACAACTTGCCGGAATTACTGTATACCTACTTCATAATTCTCAAGATGTGTGAGTGAAGAAAGTCATTTTAGAGCAAGAAAACATAACATTAACTTAACATTGATCCATCTGTGTTTTATTGTATGTATTAAAAAGGTACACTTTTATAATGATCACAAGTAACCAACATTTTACAACTATTTTCGTAATTGATTATTTGCAAACTAATTTAAGATGTCAGATGTGACTTAAAAACTCAAACAGAGCAGTAATTACAAAAATGGAACAGCATGGAAAGCATACATCTCTCAATCTCTTAAAATTGATTTGTCTGGAATTATCAAAATGTCCTTGACTTAAGTGTAGAAATATTATTGTATAAGAATCACATATCCACTTTTTAAACAACTAATCCATTAATCAGGAATAACTATCAATGATGAATTAGTAAGTTGCAGTCCTAGTTTGTAATCTAATGTTTAAAATATTGCCAGGCTTTGTTAGAAAAGAAAATGAAATTGGAGTAAATCCCATTAAAAAATATGTGATTAATCTCAATTTTATCACAACACCCTCACATTGAAATATTTTTGGTATAAATTAGACCTTGTACTTTAGAATAGCAAGCACTGCATGACGTGGTGTTCTTCCCCCCATGTAAACGTGGTGCTCGGAGCAGAGCCACTTATCCTTCCATTTGGAGGGTGTGACGCTGTCTGTCGTATGTAACACCTTTGAAGAAGTGAGAAAAACTCTTCAAGACACAAATGTGAGATACCTTCAGATCCCAAACATATTGCCACGATACCATTAACTAAATCATTATGTAGTAAGTATATTCTCAGTGTAATTATGGCTATATCCAGCTGTCCTTCAGGTGCAGAGGCGAGCTGTAACATGTGGTTATTAAAGCTAAACACACTAAAGCCCTGAAGCAGAAGAGCCGCCCTCTGAGCAAACTACATCTGCATCCAGTCCTGCAGAAAGAGCTCACCACAACATGCAACTTCAGCCGCACTAGAGTCGCAGACGGGTTCAGACGTGCTCAGTGTCGCTAAAACATTTGACCAATGCTAGTTTTTCGGAACACAGTGACATAACTGCAAGCGTTTACAAAATACGCCCAATAATGTCGCAAAGGGGCTAATATAGACTTATCTACATAAACTGATTTCTGCTGAATGAAACCGCACATTCACTAATATTGTTCCAGATTATTCTTAGCAGATATTGTGCTTTAGTAGAAGTCATTGGACTGCACATGACAAACCACAGACGTTATCCTCAGCTCTGTAACTGTTATGGTAACTTCACACATTCAGAGACAAGTCGGCTGGCACATTTTAAATTAAGAAACATGCTAATTATGGAGATTGAATTAAGAAGTCTGTTTTTCTGTTAGAATGAAGAGCCCACAGCAGAAACATTGAAACATGAAGTGTATTATTAGAAGGCAATGCATGTCCACAACTTTTCAATTTCTCTGAATAACTAACCAACTTCTCAGACTAATGCATTGTGTTTCATCAATTATAATTTATGTGCAACTACCCCATACATGTCCTGAGCATCAATAGACAAAATGTGCATGAAAAACTCCTATAGAAACAGAAAAATGACTATGACCGACAGCGACAAAGGCATTTTTATAAGAAAGGCAGAGCGTGAGGCATTATCCGCTGCCTTTGAAGTGACAGCATCACTGACTGCTTAATACACTCAACAGGACCAGACCCCCTCCCTTCAATTTGAAGAGCTGCACTTTCCCCATGATTCATTATAGTGGGAGCCTGCTGTTTACATGCTAGGCTCCCATTCAAAAACTTAATCACCATTTCCTTCCAAATAGGTCACAGTCAAAATAGCCATGCCGTCCAGAAGCAGATAACGGATTAGCTTATAGACAGAGCGAGGGGGAGAGAAAAGAAAATCTCTGCTGCAATAGATTATCACACGTGAAAATTAGATCTAATACTGCGCATTGCTGTGGATGTATGCATGTGTTAAGATCTTTTAGGATTATAGGTTTGCATGAATGAATGTATATTAATGAAAATAGCCTGTTGCTGAAAACCTCATGTGACCCAATTTGAGATAGGCTGGCTTGTTGCTAGGAAAGTAAGATAGTACTACTGTGGTCCTATAGGAGGAGTGAGATATTGTGAATGGAGTGTGTGAAAGTAGTTAACATGCATACAACAAAAGCACACTTTGTCTGGCTTGTCTGGCTCTGCAGTGACGTTCAAAACACCATAGGACCCCTGATACAAAAGCCCCTATTGGACGAATTAACAAACTAATACGCTTTCAATGAATAAACTCTTGTCTAGACACTATCATGCAACAGTATAGCCTTTGTGGTAACATTGTCTCCACATTTTCTCCTGTTGACAGTGGCTTCTTTCAATTATTTTGTGTAGCAATTGTGCAAATCATAAACGTGCTTATTCCCAACTAGGATTGTGACTTTTCATTCCAAACAAGCACTGAATGGAGCCATGGTAAGGGTGTTCTGACTTGCACACATGGGAGAGGCTTCATGGTTCATGCACGTTAAAAGTTAATCTGAACTGGATAAGTACGTATTTTTACATATTTTCAGCATATGAAAAGATTAGCCCACTTCCTGGACTATCAATGTTGTCAAAAGTTATCCACAAAGAGTTCACAGTGATCATGATTCTAAAAGTAATTTGGTGTGGGTATAGTGACTTCACTACATCTTACCTTCCAGGCTAAAATCCAGCAGCACATACTCGTAAACAGTGTCGGTTTTGGTCTCCACCTGTGGTCTTTTCAGAGTGGAGTAAATCTTGCCCGGGCTGCTGTCCTCCGGGTCTTCCAGCTTCCTTAAGCCGCAGCCCATGCTTCCTGCGCCGGGGAGAGAAAGAGACGCAGCTCCGGGTGAATCTAATGGAAGCACCACGACTGAAAATCTCCACACTATTCAACTTTTATTAGCGCCACCACTCCATTCCTGCTTTTTTTTTATCTGATAATCCCCAAGAGAGTGATCGGATAATCTGGGGAAAAGCAGGATGACAAAACTCCCCGACTTCAGAGCTGGCAGAGAGTGGAGGGTGAGAGGGCGAGAGGGTGGTCCTGCGCTCGCCTCGTGCACAGAGACGCGCCTCCTGTGGCTCTGAGTGAGATGGAGAGGAGGAGGAGGAGGAGGAGGAGGAGAAGGAGGAGCAGACTGGAGAAAGTTTACTCCTGTCAAGGCAAAAAAAAAAAAAAAATACTATGCGAAATTGCGTATATGATGACGTGCATAACGTTAAATTTTTCACAGTGAACATGAAAAAAACAAAAAAACATTCTATTAATCAAAGCAGTTTTTGACTGAACTGCTGTTATCATTATTATTATTATTATTATCATTATTATTATTATTATTATTGACATTATTATTATTGACATTATTATTATTATTGACATTATTATTATTATTAGCATCATTGTAATTATTATTATTATTATTGTTTTTATCATCATCATTATTATTATTATTATTGTTATTACTATTTTTTATTATAATTATTATCTTTATTTTTATTATTAGTATTATTTTTATCATCATCATCAAATCCATTATTATTATTATTATTATTGTTATTATTATTAGTATACGATGCACACAAACAGTTTATGTTTATGCTCTCCAGACCTGATGCATGTGCCTACCACGTGTTGCTGCTACTTCCCCATCTGCGCCTGATCATCAGTGAGTAATGCTATCACTCAGCACACAAAGACGTGTTCATGAAAGCCTATGGACTGAGTCGGTGGTTTTGATAGTATTATTTTACTAATGTGATCAGAGTAAATTATTAGTGTAATTCCATCTGGGCTACTCACTAATTAGGCATTGAGTGTGTCACCTCAGGCACCTCAAGTCTTTTAATCCTGTGTGGGGCCTGATCATGGATCTATTATATTAGGGGCTGATCCTGAGCATTGCAATCAGATCTGTGACCAAGGCAGTTTTGTGCGAGAAATATGCAGTTTATTAGGTTAATTAATCTAGTCATATAATAATCATCATAACAAAGCTACTATTATAATATAATATCATTTCTGGACACTCAATTGTGCTTCACTGGCAAATGTATAGACTTAGACAGACTTTATTGATACACAAGGGAAATCGCCTTGTCACAGTAGCTCACATAGTATTTTACAAAACAAATAACATTAAAGTGACAATCTGAAAATAAGAATAATATTAAGATAATATTGTGAGAGTGGAATAATCTGGATATAGGTACTCAGGAAAATACATATCTGTGAACATGTACACATTTACAGTATAAAATAGGATACTACACATCTGTGAATATACAATATATACAAGGACAAAACAGATAAACTTGAAGTCTGTTTAGATGAATGTGTTTGTTATCTGTCACAGAGCGGTGACTTGTTGTTCAGCAGTATGGAGTGTGGAGACTACGAATCTGTGACCACCGGACCTTCCAACCTCCATCAATCATTCGCAGACACACACAGACACGCACACGCGCACGCACGCACGCGCACACACTCACACACAAGACTCATACCAGGCATGTGGGTGAAGTGTCCTGGCCAAGGACACAATGACAGTTTGGCATTTAACAGTCAAAACCACCCCACTGTGGCCCAGAGGTCTCCTATCACATTATTATCCAGCCCATGACCTGCTTAGCTTCTGAGGTCTGACAGGATCAGGCGGTGACGTGCTGGTGGCACAGAATATGAAGATGTTATGTGTTCTCTCTTTGAATCACTTGATCATATTAGCATAGCCATGGAATATACCTATTACCTATAGCTCCTCGAAATTGACTGTTTTGAGTGCATGAGGAAATGGCCCTAAGCAGACCACATAACAGGGTCTGCTCCTGTTTCAGGGGCCATCTATGCTCCCAGTGCCTTTCCCCAGTGCCTCCATGGAGAACGCTTTTGAGCTCCTATTGAGAAGCAGGATCAGAGAGAAAATGTACCTCACATTTAGTTAGGCCCTTGCTCGTACTGTACAGACGGGAGAACACATGTACATCTCATGTTGCTTGTTGTTCATCTGGAGTCTAAAGCTAAATCTATACTATAATATATACTATACTATAATTTTTACTTGTTATCCATGTTTTCTGAGGCTGGAGTGAAAAAAACCCTGCAGTCAAAAAGCACACAATCAACATTCAACATTAGACTCCACAAATTTGGAATTGAGTGAAAATAATTTAATGAAAATATGAAGTCACAATATTCCTCTGTTTGGGAATGCCTCAAGCAGCAGTGACTCAGAGCCAGAGACACAGCTGCAGCCTCGGACCCTGCAGGTGCAGACTGCCACACAAACAGCATTGACATTCATCTCAGGCTCTTGCTAACTGCTCCTCTGCTCTCAAATGTTCATGCATTTATACTTTGTGATCTCCACACAAGGCAGAACCATGTCATGTGTGCACTAAATCTCAGTTTGGACAATAGGCTGCGAGTCACTCCTTAAGGACAAATGTTTTCCTGTGTGATCGACCGACATTTACAACTTTTAGTTGAATGAATCAAAGGAAAGAGAAGAGGAAGCAGCTGTATAGAAAAACGACTATGGTATAGTTTAGAGCATGGGCCAGATCCAGCCTGTGAATGAATTATCCTGGTCCCCGAGATGATATTTAGAACCGGCCCGCACAAAACATTATGAAAATACTGGATCATTCATTTAATGTTCAGGGCATGTGTTTACTGTGAGCCTGTTGAAAAATGTTTTCACTTGAAATGATTGACAGCCATAGAAGTGAGTATCTGACACCTGAAGGCACTTCTTTTCTCTCAGTTTTGTAAAACTATATATTAAATATATGTGAGCAGAAGTAGTCCTCCTTTGGATTGTGGAGGCAGCCCAGACTTCCCTCTCCACGCACACTTCCTCCAGTTCATCCGAGGGAATCCTTAGGTGTTCCCAGGGCAGCTGAGAGACATTAGCCCTGCTTCCACCACTCCTTTGCCGTACTCGCCTCTACTCACCTCTAATGGGAGCGTTTCCACCGGCCCTGTTTAACCAGTGCCAGGATCTTTGTTTTGTTTTGTTTGTAGCACCTGCTATATGGTGTGTATGTGAATGGTTGGTGGTGGTCGGTGGGGGCAGATGGCACATACTTGCTGCCTCGCTTCTGTCAGTGTGCCCCAGGGCAGCTGTGGCTACAGTAGTAGTTTATCACCACGTGTATGGAGTGAAAGAATAATGACATGTGAAGCGTCTTTGAGTGTCCAAAAAGCGCTGTATAAAACCAATGCATTATTATTATTATACCCTCTAACCAGGCCAGGCCGATACTACTCTAGAATACTGCTCTAACAGCCAGTGATTGGCCGGAGTGCTGCTGGAAGGAATCCGGGCAAGGAATTCCCCCAGATTGTGGTTTGTTGTGGTAGGAATGCATTATTATGGTAAATCGACTACATCGCTGCACAAATCGGTCTGTCTCCATCCTTCCTTTCACATATAAACAATGTGATTGTAATGACATGCAGTAAATATGTGTGTTTAGAGAAAGCAAACATTTTCAGAGAATTAATTCCTTTAATATTGCTGGACCATGTACAATCACTCAAACATCCACGAACATAAGATTAAGATAAACGATCTTAAAAGTGCAGAAGGAATTCTTTAAAAATAACTTGGTGGAATGAGCTTCCAGGAGGAAACCACTATCTCCAACTCCACCCAGACAAAACGCACAGGGAAGGAAATGTGGGTCCCTGACATATGGTCTCTGATTTAGTGAACACAGACCTGAGTGAGGGAAGGAACCACTGAGTTTATATAAAAGTTCATTCACCACTTTAAAGAGATAATTACACAGCAACCAGCATTTTGTGACTTTATGATGTCACTGTCATAAAAGATAAACAATGATGAAGTGTGATGGCACATTAAGAATTACTGGCGTACCCTCTGAAACCTAACTGAGTGCATTGGTCTGTTGTATGCGCCAGTAATTGATGTTGTTGATTTTATTATTCATATTGCCTTATCATGTGTAAAGCAACAGTGCCATCTGGCGTTCTCTCTTGGGATAGCTCAAATATCGTTCATCTTGGCGTGGGAATGATGAGCGGCATAGAAGACTTTATATTTGGACATACATATAGACAAAGCAACATGGTACACTCTGTCATTTTTACCCAGTAGAGGGTCTATTTATTGTCTCCATAAAGATGTATCACTGTGTTCCACAACAATGATTACAGAACAGATCTGAGAGAAGTTGTTATAACCCTGAAATACCAGTAACCGAATAAATGGAAGATTCAGTACTTGTAAATATACTTGTTGTGAAATATTCAATCTCTGCAGGTGAATGAGTGACTTTCCTGATGGGTTTTGCTGCCTGCCTATTGTCATGAGCTTGTTATGTTCCTCCATATAATTCAAAACACAAATATTTATGTATTTTATTCTGTTCCAACGAATAGATTCATCCGACTCCTCACATGCTACAGCCTACAGCTCCTTTTAGTATCCTGTAGTATATATGGAGCTGTACTATTCTTTGTGAAGGAGTTGTGTTGCTTCAGGTCAAATGTATATAAAATAACAAAATCCATTCTTCCCAACTGGCATTAAGATAAAGATTAAGAGATTAAGACATCCTTTATTCGTCCCACAGTGGGGAAATTTCAGTGTTGCGTCACAACAGTAGGGATGCTAAGAAAAGTGAACAATAGTTATACTAATCAAAATAAAACAAAATCACTGACTCTAGCATCAAAGGACATGTATAAAATCTCTATCTTGAACATTATAATGATAATGAAAATAAAAATTGGCATAAAAACCTAATTCTTCACTTTTTCCACCTTTGTAATTGTGGACAT